CCAGCAGCGTGCAACAGTCTCACCTGAGAGCACCAGCAGCGTGCAACAGTCTCACCTGAGAGCACGAGCAGCGTGCAACAGTCTCACCTGAGAGCACGAGCAGCGTGCAACAGTCTCACCTGAGAGCACGAGCAGCGTGCAACAGTCTCACCTGAGAGCACCAGCAGCGTGCAACAGTCTCACCTGAGAGCACCAGCAGCGTGCAACAGTCTCACCTGAGAGCACCAGCAGCGTGCAACAGTCTCACCTGAGAGCACGAGCAGCGTGCAACAGTCTCACCTGAGAGCACCAGCAGCGTGCAACAGTCTCACCTGAGAGCACCAACAGCGTGCGGCAGTCGCCGTTCTGCCCAAAGAGAATGTCCGTGTCCAGGCGGTCGCCCACCATGCAGATCTGGTTCTTGGCTATGCCGAACCTGGAGGGTGACAGGGGTGAGACAGATGAAGAATGTGAGTGGCAGGTGTGACGAAAAAAACAGACAACTCAATTGGCGTGGAGGTAGGCGTCCCACCGACCATGCAGAACTGGTTCTTGGCAATGCCGAACCTGGGGGGTGACAGGGTTTACCAGAGGGTGCGTGTGATGTGAGGTAGTGAGGTAGGTCACCATGAAGATGGAGGGCTTATCACATACATCAACGCCCCCCATCCTCCCATTCCCCCGCCCCACACTCTCTGCCTCTCACACCCTCGCATCTCACTTGGCAGCAAGATAGTCCATCATGAAGGGGACGGCTTGCCCACCATTGAGTACACAAAGCCCCCATTTTTCCACATTGCCCTTTCTCTCCTCCCCCCCCACCTCCCCCCTCCCCCTGCTGTCTCGCTGTGACTGCACCCCTTCGCATCTCACTTGGCAGCAAGGTAGTCCATCATGAAAGTAGAGGGCTTGCCCACCACGACAGGCTCCTTCTTGGTCGACCCCTTGATGGCGCCCACCATCGTGCCGCCCCCTGCCCACTCCTGTGCGTCCGTCAGGTGCGTCACGGCGTCGCAGTTGGTGGCAATGAACAGACACCCGGGGTTCTCCCGCAGACACAGCGTGGCGTACCTGGGAGGGTGAGGGATGGGCGCAACAAAAGAGAAAGGGAGAACCGGCGAGGTCAGGGATATCTCACTGGAAAGCAAGGCGAGGGTGCGTGCATTGTGGCTGCGTGGGGGAGGCGGTTTGGTTGTGACGTTGCAGCTTGGAGTGAGGATGTGTTGGGGGTTCCAAGGACACGGGAGCAAGGAGGAAGGGAAGGAGGCGGGGGGGAGGGGGGTGAGGAGGGGCAGGGTGGTGGAAAATCACAAGTAGCAGATGGTGCATACCACGAAGTGGGAAGGCGAAGGAGTTGCCGGGAAGGGGGAAAAGGCGAGTGGAGGCAAGGGGAGGGAGGGAAGAGGTGGATGAGCGGATGCCACGGCGGAGACTCCTCCCTGCAGCTTGTTGCGGTTGACGTAGCAGTCAAGCCCACCACCCCATGTAGCCTCACTAATCCCGCCACCCCATGTATCCCCCAGCCACCCCTCCAGTTGGGAGTGCGGGATACTCACTGCAGCTTGTAGTAGTTGACGTAGCGGTCAAAGCCCACCACCACCGCTCCGACCTGGAGGGGTTACAGGGGAAGGCATGGGGTGGTTGGGGTTAGAGCGGGATGCATGGGGTGGTAGGGGTGAGAGGGGGATGCATGGGGTGGTAGGGGCGAGAGGGGGATGCATGGGTTGGTACAGGTTAGAGGGGGTGCATGTGTTAGCGGTGCACGTGGGATGCATGGGGTGGCGGTATACGTTGTGCTTGGGACACCATCCACATATTCACATTACCACCATCATGCAACATGCACATACTCACATCACTCTATCATGCACCATCCACATATTCACATTACCACTATCATGCACCATTCACATATTCACATCGCATCATCATCATGCCATCAGATACTCACGTCCGCATCGTGCTCCATATATTTTCCCAGGCCCAAGTCAATGGACTTCTTCCCATCCTCCTGCAATTCACCAGCCAGCAGCATACCGCGCCACAGATGCAAACAGGCAAGCACAGTCAGGAAACAGAGAAACGAGGAGAAACGAAAGAGCAAAAGGCCAACATACTGACCAGTTCTGGACCTTCTGTGCAGCTAACAAGGTAAATGCTGGTGCGTGTAACACTCATTGCCCTCCAATGTACTTAATGCGGGTGCGTGTGAGACTCACCGGCCCTCCAATGTGGTTGACGCCAGCGAGGTCGAGTTCGAGCTGGATGCCCTGCTCGCCCACCACGTACACCTTCTTGTCCGCCGGGAAGTTGACGGACGTTAAATACGCCGCCGCCGCGAACGACGACGCGAAAATCTCCTCCTGAGATAAGGGACGAGGTGGTGGGGGGGAGGTGAGGGTAGGGGAGGTGAGAAGAGGGGAGGGGACGGGCACGGGTTTGGCAGCAGCAAAGGGTAGGGCGCTTCCTCGGTTTCATCACTGGCCCCTCTCCCCAGCTATACGCTCGAGTGCCTCCACCCACCCGCTACTCTCGCCTGCAACACATTCCCTTGCAATCGAGCGTGCATGCTTCCCAGAGAGCCCATTCCCTCGGTTATGGTAAAGAGCCCACCTCGGTGACGGTGAGTCCCAGCGACTCGAACTTCTTGCCGTACTGCTTGCGCGACTTGGTCGAGTTGTTCGTCACGAACACCAGCCGCTTGCCCTGCGACACACGAAGAAGGTTACTGGATTGAACAAACTTCACAATATTGCTTCGCCTAAGTCTTCGTGATAAGTGGTTCACCTATGCGGGCTAGTGCGATTGTCTTAACGAAAACGGGAAACTCGCAGGGTAATTCGCCAAGTTACCATTGCTCGCAGCATGTCTAGAGTCTCCGGCACACCGTCGATGAGCTTATCGCCCTTCCATATGACACCTGGCGGGACAATGTCAGAGGCATGCCCATGCAATGTGACAGACACGGTGAGCACAACGGTGACTGACATGACACATGTACATTGAGTTGCGAAAGGAACAGGTTCAATCAGCAAAGAGACAAGCAGACTGTGTTCGTCCGTGCATCCACCCGTGCAAATTGAGTTGTGAAAGCGACTCATGATCGCATCCGCATCCGTCCCGTCCCAGTCGAAGAGAAAGGTCTCCACGCTGTCGATCAGCAACGAGACAAACAAATTGCGATCGTCCGTGCATCCACCCGTGCATCTTCTATCGCGAAAGCCGACCCGTGATCGCATCCGTACCGTCGCAGTCGAAGAGGAACGTCTCCACGCTGTCGATCAGCGCCCGCGCGTCCGTCAATAGCGGCGCCTTACCCGCTGCTGCTGGAGAGAAACGGAAATGAGGGATGGAATGTACATGACAATCGCGATAACCGTCGACAAGGTAGTACCAGGTCGGACAAATCCGTTTAAGAAATTGCTGAAATTGAGGTATGTAATGTTCACGATAGACTTACTCGTGTGTGAAATGCTAGGAGTAGCATCGGTGAATTCCAATAGGTCTCCTGTTTTCACTTGATCTGTCAGGTTTGACCTAGGTGCTACGAAATGATTATGTTTGTCAATGTTGCCGTTGTTAATCCCTGATACAGCCGTACGTGCAGTACGGTCATTGATGCAGCTGTTCCTGTTGACCTCACAGGGAGACAAAGCCGGTAATCTCACCATTGGCTGAGCTTCCGCTCTCTGCCTCCATGACGGACGACCCGCTCGATGCTCGCACAGACACAGCGCTTCGCGACGACCACCGTGCGACGGGTTGCTGTGCGTGCGGCAAAGCTAGTCGCACGCCGCTGATCGCCTGACCCTGTTGCGACAACTGCTGCGATGACGGCGACGCAGGCTGCAAAATCGCACGGGAGGAGGAGAGAAGCCGCTGTGCACAGCAGAGCCGCAGGGAGTGCGCCATAAGACGAGCACAGCAAGCAGCAGCGAAACAAAGGCTCTCCTAAATTCCACTGAAGCAAGCGACACTACTCTAAACCAAACTCCAAATTGATCAGACGATTGAGTCGTTTTTCCAACAGCTTGCAGAATGAAATGGCATGAACGGCCTGGAATGCCTGACCAGGGTCTGGCAGGTTAGGCCAGAACCTCCACCCAATCAATCCAAACCGAGCCTGTTTTCTGGGCAATACCAAGGTCGGATCAGTCATGATGCCGTGGTGTGTGTGGGTCTAGTAGGCTCGGAAATCGCCGTGGCGCATTCTTTTGGTCCGGAACGGTTGGTGCTTGTGGCCTTGAGAATGCGTCCCTCACGACGCTGACCCTTTGCTTCCAATTGTCACCTGAACCACGAAATGAAATCTGAGGTGGCTACTTATGACTCGCCGGTTGCAGTGACTTTTCTGGCGAGGTTCATTATCTGACGTCAATCGGCCATTACAAAACGGATAGTAAAATTCTAGTATCATGTGAATGTGTCGAGATTGCCCGTCTTTTGCATTCAAAACTTTTTAAACCCTCTCTAACCACGCGAGAAGTTGATCCTGAAAAAGGGTCGATCGCAGGAGGGACGCGTCCCCTCAACGCCGAACCTGCAATCGACCATGCAAATCGAACCTCCACCGCACTAAAATTCCGCCTTTTGCATTCAAAACATTTTAAACCACGCGCAAGATCGATCCTGCGGAGGGTCGATCACAGGATCGATCGCAGGATTGATCCTGACATCTGATTCCCGCCAACTGCTTCTGCCTCCGTTCGTCTGACATTTCTGCTGGCATCCAACGAGTCTCAAATTCGCCCCATGCATAACCTCTGACATCTACCGCTACCACAAATTCCCGAATTCCAGCACTCCCAACTTCTGTTCGACGTCGTTTGCTCGTTGACCATCCCCCGCCGTATATTCTAACTTCTGTTTCCGTCATAAATCGTCTGTACCCCTCGTCGTCGGTTGATGAATAGCTCCTCACAGTCTAGCCCTCAGTTCGTTATCCCAGACTACCACTTCGTTATATCCTACTTTCTTTGTCCAGGATAGCGTAATCCCTTTCGAATCAGTCCATTTCGGTGATGTCGCTCCCCAGCGACACTCGTGGCACCGCGACTGCTGCTAACGGCGGTTCCGATGGGAGCGAGATGGCCGTCGGATTCGTTGGCTTGGGTGCGATGGGTGGTGGCATGGCGGCCGCTCTGGTGAAGCGAGGCTTTGCTGTGAAGGGATTCGATGTGAGTGGCTTGAAAGGCTATGATGCGATGGGCCTCAAGGGATTTGATGTGAGTCGCTTGAAGGGATACGATGCGATTGGCCTGTAGGATTTGACGTGAGTGAACCGATTGAGTGCCTTCTTGGCGTCACGTGGGTGGGAGTCAGCGTCTTGATACACGTATGGTGGGTTCTTGGTGTAAATTTAAAGCTCGTATCCACTTTCAGTTCCATCCTTCGCCTCCGCCTTCACGTTCCAATCTGTCCCGCGTTCCCTCCTCTTCCGCCACCTCCTCGTCTCACCCATCTCCATCATTCCCGCGTCTCCTCCTTCCCCATCCTCCTCCTCCCCGCGTCTCCGCTTCCTCGCGTCTCCTTTTCCCCGCGTCTCCTCTTCCCCGCGTCTCCTCTCTGTGCTCTGCTCGTCCCACGACTATCCTTCCTGGGACGCCTTGTAGTGCCCTATTTTCACGGGGATGTAGCTCAGATGGTAGAGCGCTCGCTTAGCATGCGAGAGGTACGGGGATCGATACCCCGCATCTCCAGGTTTGCGGGGATAGCTCAGTTGGGAGAGCGTCAGACTGAAGATCTGAAGGTCGCGTGTTCGATCCACGCTCACCGCACTTTTCTTCACCCGGTTGCTTCATCGGCATGTCGTGTAGAGCCTCTGCACCCCCTCCTTTCCCCCTGACTGAGCTTTGGAACCGCCCCGCTCTTTGCCTTACTCAACTCCCCGTCCCCCCTCGCTCCTCTGCTTTCCTTGTTCTTGTTTGGCCCACGCTCTCACCACAGGTGTACCCCCCGGCATGCGAGAAGCTCAAATCTGCGGGTGGTGCTGCTGCCGCCTCCGCAGCCGATGCTGCTAAGGGTAACACACCGCCTCTTTGCTGCTCTTCACACGTAGCATGTCATCCCGTCACGCGCTGCTTTCTCGGCCTCCTCTTTCTAAATTCTCTTCACCTCATTGCTTACAGTCCGTTTCATTTTTCATTTGGGCCTTCCCCACTCATCCCTCTCCTCCCGCATCCTTCTCCTCCATGCCTCCCCTCATGCCCCTCTCTGTGTGTCTCTCAGGAGCCGTGGTGCTGGTGCTGATGGTGACCACGGCCAAGCAGGCCGAGGGGGCTCTGTTCGGCGATGAGGGAGCACTGCAGGGTGAGTGTTCGGGATGAATGAGAGTGGTAGAGAGTGGCTGAGAATGGTGGAGGGCGGCAGAGAATGGGAAAGTGTTAGGGACAAAAAGGGAAAAAAGGGCAGAGGGTCAGAGAAAGTGGCTGCACTCAGCAGTTTAGCAGGTGCGTATGTGTAAAGCTCGTTCTTTTCTTTCTCTCTCTCTCGCCTCATTTTTGTGCCACATCTCCTTACCTTCACCCGCTCCCATGCCCTCTTCTCATACCACCTGCAGCTCTCCCTCCCGGTGCCGTCGTCATTCTCTGCTCCACTGTTCCGCCTGAATTTGCACGCAGCCTTGGCACCAAGCTCTCAGGTATGATGCACTAATTTCTAAAGCACTCCCCCCTTTTCCTCTTTTAAGTGAATTCTCGGATGGACTTTTTGATCATCAGGGCCTGGTACCATCTGCTCTCTGTTTCAGCGCCGCTCTGTACCCGCTACCGCTCATCTTGCCTTCAGCTCTCTTGTCGATTTTGCTCTCCTCTGCTCTGCTCTTCCCCGAACCCTTTCTGTCGCCGGCTGTTAGTTTGTTTTCCAAATCCCAAGAGCATCTCTTTTGTTTCTTCTAAGAATTCGCAACCCCCCTCCATTCTGTCCCTTGCCGATTGTCCGTGCGAGCAGCACAGGGCAAGGGGTGGGAGATGGTGGATGCGCCGGTGTCAGGAGGGGTGGCACGTGCTGTGGACGGCACCCTCACTGTGAGCTTCGTTTCGAGATGCTTATTTTTTCGCCTTTTGAGGCACCTAGAGAATGCACCGGTGCCTGGAGGGCTGGTGACAGATAGGGCCCTCACTGTGAGGTTCGTTTCCGAGTGGCACTGTCTGCTGTGCATTATTAGCTCGTACCTGAGGCGAGTGCTATCATGGAACATGCCCGCCTCTCTTGCCCGCTCTATCCCCTCATCACTGTTTCTGCTCCTGACCCTCTTATCCCCGCGTTGCCTGCTGCAGATTATGGCCGCAGCGACACCTGCTGCTCTCGCCAAGGCACGCCCAGTGCTGGAAGGTACGCTTTTGGGGCTGTGGGCGCCGCCTCGCTCTCAGCTGCCTCTTCATCTCGCGTTGCTCTGCCTCATTCCCTCCTTTCCCCAGATCCTGCTCTAACATCCTGCTCTAACATCCTGCTCTAACATCACCCCATTATCCCCTCTCCTCCCTCTCCCCGCTCTCCCCCTTCCCCGGTGCAGCCATGAGTGCAAAGCTGTACATCGTGGGAGACACACCGGGCGCAGGCAGGTGCGTGGGTGGGGGCAGGGGGGCAGGGAGGTAGGGGTCAGGGGGCCAGGGAGGTTAAGGGGGCAGGAGAGTGAGCTGGTGGCGGGGTGCAGACAGCAGTTGCAGCTGCAGCAGGTCAATTGTGCTTGGACTCACCTGTGTGCCTTCTCTCTTTCTCTCGCTCTTCTCCCTCTTCTCCCACGTTGGCCTCTCCTTCTCCCTTGCCGTCCTCTACTGCTCCCCCTCTTCTCCCTCCAGCGCTGCGATAATGGTGAATCGGTTATTGGCAGCCATGCACATAGCAGCAGCTTGTTTGTTGCTCGCAGGCTCACATGTAGCACCTCTCTCCCTCTCCCCGCTCTCACTCTGCGACCATTTCCCCCCCCAGCGCGGTGAAGATGGTGAATCAGCTGCTGGCAGGGGTGCACATAGCGGCAGCAGCGGAGGCGATGGCACTGGGGGCGAGGGCAGGGCTGAACGCGCGCATGGTGTTTGATATCATCTCACACGCCGCTGGCAACTCATGGTGGGTTGAGGCGTGCTTGAGAGGGTGTCTTGCTAGTGGGGATGCGTGTAGCGATGGCACTGGGGGCGAGAGCAGGGCTGAACGCGCGCATGGTGTTTGATATCATCTCCCATGCTGCTGGCAACTCATGGTGGGTTGTAACTTGTAATGAGGTGACTTGTGAGTTGACTCAACAGGGCAGGGCTGAACGCGCGTATGGTGTTTGACATCATCTCACACGCCGCTGGCAACTCATGGTGGATTGGGGCGTGCTTGAGAAGTGCCTTGCTGGCAACTCCCGGTGGGTTGTGACGAGATGACGTGTGAGTCAACTCAATAGGGCAGGGCTGATTGCGCGCATGGTGTTTGACATCATCTCGCATGCTGCAGGCAATTCATGGTGATGCTTAGAACCACCTTGCTGCTGGATTGAGGTGTGCTTGGTGCTGCGTTGGGAAGCGCTTTGATTTTTGAGCGCCTCAGACGTTGCTCAAGAGAATGCTTTGCGGTGTGATTTGCGGCATAACATGGTGCTTATTCCTGATGCCGATCACCGATCACCATCCCCATCCCCACGCCCATGCCCGTCACACATCGCAGGATGTTTGAGAACCGAGTGCCGCACATGCTGGACAACGACTACACGCCTCGCTCCGCCCTCAACATCTTTGTCAAGGACCTGGTACGCTCTACTAAGGCTGTGCAGCGTCTGTAGTACTCAGACACGGTACTACGGCAGTGTCGCTATGGCTGTCGTGCGCATGCGCGACTCTCTGCGTGACTCTCTGTCTTTGTCAGGAGCCCTGTGCTGATGCAGTGTTGACAGCTTCAGTCGGACATGATGTTATAGTATGCCTCAATCCCCCCAGTTTGTGCTGGTCTGTCTCACTCTGCCCCTTCTCCTCCTCAGTGTTTACTCAATTCTCATTGTCCCCTTGCCGCTCTCCCTCCTTCCCCCGCCCCACCCATCAGGGCATTGTGTTGGGTGAGGCACAGTCGCTCGCGTTCCCTCTGCCCCTGGCAGCAGCAGCACACCAGCAGTTCCTGGCGGGTGCAGCAGCAGGGCTGGGCAGGGAGGACGATGCTGCCGTGGTCAAGGTGACACCAGGGGGTTCACGGTTAAGGATTCAGGAGGGCTGATTTCAAGGGTCCCGGGCTAAATTTCCTACTGCATTCTAGCCTGTGCTGCATGCATCCTCACTGTGGTTGTCTCTCTTCCTCTCCTAACCTTGTATCCCCCTATTTGCTGTCATCGTCTCCCTCTATCCTTTCCCCTTACTCCCCACACCCCAACTCTCCCCCTCCCATCCCCACCCATCCCCACCCGCCTCTTCTCATGTCATCCTCCCTCTAGGTCTATGAGCGCCTGGCAGGAGTAACAGTCGCCTCCGCCCTCCCCTCCACCTCATCTCCCCCTTCCACCTCCTCCTCTGCTCCGTTCCCGGAGCCCACCGTCCAATCAAAAGCCGCCATGCTGGCAGCGCTGCCGCCCGAGTGGACGGGCAGCTTGGAAGTGACAAGGGGGGGCGCAGAGGGCAAGGAGGGAGGACAGGGAGAGGCGGTTCTGCCAGTGGTGGTGGTGTTGGATGATGACCCCACTGGCACTCAAACGGTGCATGGGCTGCATGTGCTCACCACGTGGTATGTGTGTGTGGTAGCCGTGGTATGTGTTTGGTAACCACGTGGTAGGGCGTGTGGTTGCCACGTGGTATGGTGGATGGATGGTAACTGCGTAGTGTGGCATGCGATTTTCACACATGGTATGCTGCTGCTGGTATCTGCCCCGCTCCCCTTTCACATTCCAAGTTTCCACTCTCCCGTTTTCCTCCGCATTCCCCTACCCTGTCTGCCATGTGAGTCACATCAAACACCGCGTGCGCCTCCTCCCTCACACTTTCCTTCTCCATTCTCTGGTCTCTCTACTCTTGTCTATCGTCACCTGTCCCTCCTCTCTCTCCCCAGGGACGTGGAAACACTCAAGGCGGAAATGGCAGCACTGGCGCACACCCCCAATGCCGCCTTCTTCATTCTCACCAACTCCCGCGCACTGCCCACGCAGCAGGTGGGTGGGGTATGGTATGGCATGGTGTAGCATGGTGCAGCTTCGGCGGTCACAGCGGGTGGGGGGGGCATGGCGTGGTATGATGGCAGCACTGGCGCACACCCCCAATGCCGCCTTCTTCATTCTCACCAATTCCCGCGTGCAGCCCACGCATGACGTGGCATGGTGTGGCAAGACATGGGGTGGCATGGCCTTGTGCCTCATCCGCAATACCACCACCCCCTTCATGATGCCGCTGCTTCCCTGCCCTTTCAAACTGCCTCTTCGCCTCTCTCGACCATTTTCCCCTCGGCCTCTTCCCCTTCCCCACTCTACCCCCGTCTCTCACCATGGCAGGCAGCAGCTCTCACGCGCACCATCTGCAGCAATGTCGTGACAGCAGCCCAGCAAGCAGGGATCCTCAGGTAAGCAGGGGTGGAGATGGGCGAGAATGGGTTGTGGGGAGCACAGTGGCGGTGGTGATTGGTTCTGTGAATGGCTGTGGTGGTGAGAGCAGAGGCAGTGGCTTGGCTTGGCTGGGCCAGTATACCCACAGAAGCACAGAAGTCTGGCAGGAAGCAAGCCGTCCTCTCTGTCACTCTGTGCACATGGTGTGCCTCGTGTGTGTGCAGCAGCAGCAGTGGTGGCAAGGATCCGGGTTGCAGGGGCATCACACTCATTCTCCGAGGGGACTCCACCCTGCGAGGTCACTTCCCCCAGGTATTGCGTTGTTTCGTTAAAATCGCTTTCTCCACCCTGCGATGCCACTTCCCGCAGGTACCCCATATTCTCTGCTTGCTGCCGTTGCATCTTCTTCCACCTTCCCCTGCGATTATCCTCGCTCATGCCTACATGGCCCTCGCTCCTTCTGTTTCAATTTGGCCCATCGGCCGACAGGTGGGGAGTAGGAGGGGCATTCACAGTCTCTCCTTCTCCAAAGCCCCCCTCTCTCTCATCGATGCCCCACTCTCTCCCTACCCAGGAGGTTGAAGCAGCGGAGGCAGCACTGGGCGCAGCAGTGGACGCATGGGTGGTGTGTCCCTTATGCCTAATGTTTGTCTTGTCGTTTCCTCATTGCGTCGCCGCCCATTCCCTTCCTGTGCACCCTCTCGCCCTATCCAGGAGGTAGAGGCAGCGGAGGCAGCGCTAGGCACAGCAGTGGATGCGTGGGTGGTGTGTCCTTTCTTCCTGGAGGGGGGCCGCTACACCATCAATGACGTGCACTATGTGGCCGATGGGGCTGACAGGTGAGAGCGAGGGGTGCTGGTGGGCAGGCCGCAGGGGCGAGCGTGGGGGGCGCTACACCATCAATGACGTGCACTATGTGGCCGATGGGAGCGACAGGTGAGAGAGGCAGGTGTGCGAGCGAGGGGTGCTGGCGGGGACAAGGGCTGTTAGGCTGTTAGGCTATTAGGCTCATAGGCTCATAGGCTGTTAGGCTGTTAGGCTGTTACGCAGTTAGGCTGTTACGCTGTTAGGTTGTTACAATGTTAGGCTGTTAGACTGTTAGGCTGTTGCGCTGTTAGGCTGTTACGCTGTTAGGTTGTTAGGCTGTTAGGCTGTTAGGCTGTTACGCTGTTAGGCTGTTACGTTGTTAGGCTGTTAGGCTGTTACGCTGTTACGCTATTAGGCTGTTACGCTGTTACGCTGTTAGGCTATTACGCTGTTAGTCTGTTAGGTTGTTAGGCTGTTAGGCTGTTACGCTGTTACGCTGTTAGGCCGTTAGGCTGTTACACGGTTACGCTGTTAGGCTGTTATACTGTTACGCTGTTAGGCTGTTAGGCTATTAGGCTGTTAGGCTGTTACGCTATTACGCTGTTACGCTGTTACGCTGTTTGGCTGTTACGTTGTTAGGCTGATAGGCTGTTAGGCTGTTACGCTGTTAGGCTGTTAGGCTGTTAGGCTGTTAGGCTGTTAGGCTATACGCTGTTACGCTGTTACGTTGTTACGCTGTTAGGCTGTTAGGCTGTTACGCTGTTAGGCTGTTACGTTGTTAGGCTGTTAGGCTGTACGCCGTTACGCTGTTACGCTGTTACGCTGTTACGCTGTTAGGCTATTAGGCTGTTACCCTGTTATGCTCTTAGGCTGTTAGGCTGTTAGGCTATTAGGCTGTCAGGCTGTCAGGCTGTCAGGTTGTTACGCTGTTACGCTATTACGCTGTTACGCTGTTAGGCTGTTAGGTTGTTACGCTGTTACGCTGTTACACTGTGAGGCTGTGAGGCTGTTAGGTTGTTAGGCTGTTACGCTGTTACGCTGGTAGGCTGTTAGGCTGTTAGGCTGTTACGCTGTTAGGCTATTAGGCTGTTACGCTGTTAGGCTGTTAGGCTGTTAGGCTGTTACGCTGTTACGCTGTTAGGCTGTTAGGCTGTTAGGCTGTTACGCCGTACGCTGTTAGGCCGTTAGGCTGTTACGCGGTTAGGATGTTAGGCTGTTAGGCTGTTACGTTGTTACGCTGTTACGCTGCTAGGCTGTTACGATATTAGGCTGTTAGGCTGTTAGGCTGTTAGGCTGTTACGCTGTTACGCTGTTACGCTGTTAGGCTGTTACCCTGTTAGGCTGTTAGGCTGTTACGCTGTTAGGCTGTTACGCTGTTAGGCTGTTACGCTGTTAGGCTGTTACGCTGTTAGGCTGTTAGGCTGTTAGGCTGTTACGCTGTTACGCTGTTAGGTTGTTAGGCTGTTAGGCTGTTACGCTGTTACTCTGTTAGGCCGTTAGGCTGTTACGCGGTTAGGCTGTTAGGCTGTTAGGCTGTTAGGCTGTTACGCTGTTAGGCTGTTACGCTGTTAGGCTGTTAGGCTGTTACGCTGTTAGGCTGTTAGGCTGTTACGCTGTTACGCTGTCACGCTGTTACACTGTTACGCTGTTACGCTGTTACGCTGTTACGCTGTTACGCTGTTACGTTGTTACGTTGTTACGATGTTAGGCTGTTAGGCTGTTAGGCTGTTACGCTGTTAGGCTGTTAGGCTGTTAGGCTGTTACGCTGTTACGCTGTTACGCTGTTATGCTGTTACGCTGTTAGGCTGTTAGGCTGTTACGCTGTTACGCTGTTACGCTGTTAGGCTGTTAGGCTGTTAGGCTGTTATGCTGTTACGCTGTTAGGCTGTTAGGCTGTTAGGCTGTTAGGTTGTTAGGCTGTTAGGCTGTTACGCTGTTACGCCGTTTCGCTATTAGGCCGTTAGGCTGTTACGCGGTCAGGCCGTTAGGCTGTTACGCTGTTAGGCTGTTACGCTGTTACGCTGTTAGGCTGTTACGCTGTTAGGCTGTTAGGCTGTTACACTGTCACGCTGTTAGGCTGTTACGCTGTTAGGCTGTTAGGCTGTTAGGCCGTTACGCTGTTACGCGGTTAGGCTGTTAGGCTGTTACGTTGTTAGGCTGTTACGCTGTTACGCTGTTACGCTGTTAGGCTGTTAGGCTGTTAGGCTGTTACGCTGTCACGCTGTTATGCTGTTACGCTGTTAGGCTGTTAGGCTATTAGGCTGTTAGGCTGTTACGCTATTACGCTGTTATGCTGTTTTGCTGTTTGGCTGTTACGTTGTTAGGCTGATAGGCTGTTAGGCTGTTACGCTGTTAGGCTGTTAGGCTGTTAGGCTGTTAGGCTGTTAGGGTATACGCTGTTACGCTGTTACGTTGTTACGCTGTTAGGCTGTTAGGCTGTTACGCTGTTAGGCTGTTACGTTGTTAGGCTGTTAGGCTGTACGCCGTTACGCTGTTACGCTGTTACGCTGTTACGCTGTTAGGCTGTTAGGCTGTTACCCTGTTACGCTTTTAGGCTGTTAGGCTATTAGGCTGTCAGGCTGTCAGGCTGTCAGGTTGTTACGCTGTTACGCTATTACGCTGTTACGCTGTTAGGCTGTTAGGCTGTTACGCTGTTACGCTGTGAGGCTGTGAGGCTGTTAGGCTGTTAGGCTGTTACGCTGTTACCCTGGTAGGCTGTTAGGCTGTTAGGCTGTTACGCTGTTAGGCTAGTAGGCTGTTACGCTGTTAGGCTGTTAGGCTGTTAGGCTGTTAGGCTGTTACGCTGTTACGCTGTTAGGCTGTTAGGCTGTTAGGCTGTTACGCTGTTACGCTGTTAGGCCGTTAGGCTGTTACGCGGTTAGGATGTTAGGCTGTTAGGCTGTTACGTTGTTACGCTGTTACGCTGCTAGGCTGTTACGATGTTAGGCTGTTAGGCTGTTAGGCTGTTACGCTGTTACGCTGTTAGGCTGTTACGCTGTTAGGCTGTTAGGCTGTTACGCTGTTAGGCTGTTACGCTATTAGGCTGTTACGCTGTTACGCTGTTAGGCTGTTACGCTGTTACGCTGTTAGGTTGTTAGGCTGTTTCGCTGTTACGCTGTTAGGCCGTTTGGCTGTTACGCGGTTAGGCTGTTAGGCTGTTACGCTGTTAGGCTGTTAGGCTGTTACGCTGTTAGGCTGTTACGCTGTTAGGCTGTTACGCTGTTAGGCTGTTAGGCTGTTACGCTGTTAGGCTGTTAGGCTGTTACGCTGTTACGCTGTCACGCTGTTACGCTGTCACGCTGTTACACTGTTACGCTGTTACGCTGTTACTCTGTTACGCTGTTACGCTGTTACGTTGTTACGTTGTTACGCTGTTAAGCTGTTAGGCTGTTAGGCTGTTAGGCTGTTACGCTGTTAGGCTGTTAGGCTGTTAGGCTGTTACGCTGTTACGCTGTTACGCTGTTAGGCTGTTACGCTGTTAGGCTGTTAGGCTGTTACACTGTCACGCTGTTAGGCTGTTACACTGTTAGGCTATTAGGCTGTTAGGCCGTTACGCTGTTACGCGGTTAGGCTGTTAGGCTGTTACGTTGTTAGGCTGTTACGCTGTTACGCTGTTAGGCTGTTAGGCTGTTAGGCTATTACGCTGTCACGCTGTTATGCTGTTACGCTGTTAGGCTGTTAGGCTGTTACGCTATTACGCTGTTACGCTGTTACGCTGTTTGGCTGTTACGTTGTTAGGCTGATAGGCTGTTAGGCTGTTACGCTGTTAGGCTGTTACGCTGTTAGGCTGTAAGGCTGTTAGGCTATACGATGTTACGCTGTTACGCTGTTACGCTGTTAGGCTGTTAGGCTGTTATGCTGTTAGGCTGTTACGCTGTTAGGCTGTTACGTTGTTAGGCTGTTAGGCTGTTATGCTGTTACGCTGTTACGCTGTTACGCTGTTAGGCTGTTACGCTGTTAGGCTGTTAGGCTGTTATGCTGTTAGGCTGTTACGCTGTTAGGCTGTTACGCTGTTAGGCTGTTACGCTGTTACGCTGTTAAACTGTTAGGCTGTTAGGCTGTTACGCTGTTACACTGTTAGGCTGTTAGGTTGTTAGGCTGTTAGGCTGTTACGCTGTTACACCGTTTCGCTATTAGGCCGTTTGGCTGTTACACGGTTAGGCCGTTAGGCTGTTCCGCTGTTAGGCTGTTACGCTGTTACGCTGTTAGGCTGTTACGCTGTTAGGCTGTTAGGCTGTTACGCTGTCACGCTGTTAGGCTGTTACGCTGTTAGGCTGTTAGGCTGTTAGGCCGTAACGCTGTTACGCGATTAGGCTGTTAGGCTGTTACGTTGTTAGGCTGTTACGCTGTTACGCTGTTATGCTGTTAGGCTGTTACCCTGTTACGCTCTTAGGCTGTTAGGCTGTTAGGCTATTAGGCTGTCTGGCTGTCAGGCTGTCAGGTTGTTACGCTGTTACGCTATTACGCTGTTACGCTGTTAGGCTGTTAGGTTGTTATGCTGTTACGCTGTTACGCTGTGAGGCTGTGAGGCTGTTAGGCTGTTAGGCTGTTAGGCTGTTACGCTGTTACGCTGGTAGGCTGTTAGGCTGTTAGGCTGTTACGCTGTTAGGCTGTTAGGCTGTTACGCTGTTAGGCTGTTAGGCTGTTAGGATGTTAGGCTGTTACGCTGTTACGCTGTTAGGCTGTTAGGCTGTTACGCTGTAACGCTGTTAGGCTGTTACGCTGTTACGCTGTTAGGCCGTTAGGCTGTTACGCGGTTAGGATGTTAGGCTGTTAGGCTGTTACGTTGTTACGCTGTTACGCTGCTAGGCTGTTACGATGTTAGGCTGTTAAGCTGTTAGGCTGTTACGCTGTTACGCTGTTATGCTGTTAGGCTGTTACGCTGTTAGGCTGTTACGCTGTCACGCTGTTATGCTGTTACGCTGTTAGGCTGTTAGGCTATTAGGCTGTTAGGCTGTTACGCTGTTAGGCTGTTACGCTGTTAGGCTGTTAGGCTGTTACGCTGTTACGCTGTTACGTTGTTACGCTGTTACGCTGCTATGCTGTTACGATGTTAGGCTGTTAGGCTGTTAGGCTGTTACGCTGTTACGCTGTTAGGCCGTTAGGCTGTTACGCGATTAGGCTGTTAGGCGGTTAGGCTGTTAGGCTGTTAGGCTGTTACGCTGTTAGGCTGTTACGCTGTTAGGCTGTTAGGCTGTTACGCTGTTAGGCTGTTAGGCTGTTAGGCTGTTACGCTGTTAGGCTGTCACGCTGTTACACTGTTACGCTGTTACGCTGTTACGCTGTTACGCTGTTACGCTGTTACGTTGTTACGTTGTAACGCTGTTAGGCTGTTAGGCTGTTAGGCTGTTACGCTGTTAGGCTGTTAGGCTGTTAGGCTGTTTCGCTGTAGGCTGTTAGGCTGTTACGCTGTTACGCTGTTACGCTCTTAGGCCTTTTCGCTGTTTCGCTGTTACGCTGTTAGGCTTTTAGGCTTTTAGGCTGTTACGCTGCTAGGCTGTTAGGCTGTTACGCTGTTAGGCTGTTAGGCTGTTACGCTGTAGGCTGTTAGGCTGTTACGCTGTTACGCTGTTACGCTGTTACGCTGTTAGGCTGTTAGGCTGTTAGGCTGTTATGCTGTTAGGCTGTTAGGCTGTTAGGCTGTTCCGCTGTTACGCTATTACGCTGTTACGCTGTTAGGCTGTTAGGCTGTTAGGCTGTTACGCTGTTAGGCTGTTAGGTTGTTAGGATGTTACGCTGTTAGGCTGTTAGGCTGTTACGCTATTACGCTGTTACGCTGTTACGCTGTTAGGCTGTTACGCTGTTAGGCTGTTACGCTGTTACGCTGTTACGCTGTTAGGCTGTTAGGCTGTTACGCTGTTACACTGTTAGGCTGTTAGGTTGTTAGGCTGTTAGGCTGTTACGCTGTTACACCGTTTCGCTATTAGGCGTTTGGCTGTTACGCGGTTAGGCCGTTAGGCTGTTACGCTGTTAGGCTGTTACGCTGTTACGCTGTTAGGCTGTTACGCTGTTAGGCTGTTAGGCTGTTACGCTGTCACGCTGTTAGGCTGTTACGCTGTCACGCTGTTAGGCTGTTACGCTGTTAGGCTGTTAGGCTGTTAGGCCGTAACGCTGTTACGCGATTAGGCTGTTAGGCTGTTACGTTGTTAGGCTGTTACGCTGTTACGCTGTTACGCTGTTAGGCTGTTAGGCTGTTAGGCTGTTACGCTGTTACGCTGTCACGCTGTTATGCTGTTACGCTGTTAGGCTGTTAGGCTATTAGGCTGTTAGGCTGTTACGCTATTACGCTGTTACGCTGTTACGCTGTTTGGCTGTTTCGTTGTTAGGCTGATAGGCTGTTAGGCTGTTACGCTGTTAGGCTGTTAGGCTGTTAGGCTGTTAGGCTGTTACGCTGTTACGCTGTTACCCTGTTACGCTGTTAGGCTGTTAGGCTGTTAGGCTGTTAGGCTGTTAGGCTGTTAGGCTGTTATGCTGTTACGCTGTTACGCTGTTACGCTGTTACGCTGTTAGGCTGTTACGCTGTTAGGCTGTTACGCTGTTAGGCTGTTAGGCTGTTAGGCTGTTAGGCGGCTGCTCCACATCCCTCCTCCGCTCCACACCCCACCACCCCAGGCTGGTGCCGGCAGCACAGACAGAGTTTGCCAAGGATGCTGCCTTTGGCTACTCCCGCTCCAACCTCAAACAGGTGCGAGGCTGTGCTGTGCGGTGCTGTGTGATACTGTGCTGTGCAATACTGTGCTGTGCTGTGTGGCTGGGAGGGATGTACACATGTGCATGTCGGTTTCTGGATTCCATGCGGACAAATGCGTCCGTGCATTTACATGCATCATCAATCTCCTCTCCTGCATGCCTCTCTATGATGTGCTCCGCTCAGTGGGTCGAGGAGAAGACAGGTGGCGCCAGGTCAGCAGCTGATGTGGCATCCATCTCCATCGAGACCATTAGAGGGGGCGGCCCTTCCGCCGTCCTTAAAGCCCTCATGGCGCTACCTAAGGTACTCCGTGCTGCTCCCTGCTGCTTCCTCCCATGTCCTCACATGCTCCCCCCATGATGCCTTGTGAATGATGATCTGTAAGGGTCCCATGCTCTCCCACGGGCCCTCATGATACCCGCTGCTGATCTCTTCCGCTCTTTGCTGCTTCGAAATGTGGCGTCTATCCTTACTGCTCTCTACTATCTCGCCCCTGCAATAGTTTCTTCACGAAATGATACCCGCGACTGTAAAATGTTCAATTCGCTCCCTTACCCCCACAGGGTAGTGTGTGCATCTTGAATGCAGCGAGTGACAGTGACCTACACGTGGCAACAGCAGCCCTAAGATACTCAGAGGCTGCTGGGCGCTCCTTCCTTGTGCGCTCTGCTGCCTCCTTCGTCTCCTCCCTTTATTGCTCACCTTGAATTCCGCCCTCCCCCCGCCCTTTCTCCCTTGCTCCTGCAGGGCAGTGTGTGCATCTTGAATGCAGCGAGTGACAGTGACTTGCACGTGGCTACAGCAGCTCTCCGCCACGCAGAGGCAGCAGGGCGCTCCTTCCTCGTGCGCTGTGCCGCTTCCTTCGTCTCCTCCCTCCTCTCCCTCCCCAAGCTGCCCCCGCTTGGTCCCCCTGAGTGGGCGCAGCTGCTGCTGGGGGGAGGAGGAGGAGGGGAGTGTGGGGGGGAAGGGGAGAAGGGAGGGGAGGGGGAGTGGGGGCGGAAGTTGAAGCGGTGGGGCTGGTTGCGGAGCAGTACCAGGGGTTTGATTGTGGTGGGGTCGTATGTGCCAAAGACGAGTGCTCAGGTGAATGGGAGAGGGTGGGGTTAAGGAGTGAGGGATAAAAAGGAGGTAAAGGAGGCGAGGAGGGGCAGAAGGTGGAGGAGGGGAGGAAATACGGAAAGAGAGTGTACGGTAGAGAGATGGGGATAAGATTGGGGGGTGAACAAGATATTTTCTAAGTCGTGATGGAGCAGTGCAACTGAGTGCTGATGTATGCAGCAACACAGTGGCATTTCACCGTGTCTTGCGTGATCCCGTCCCGTTTTTCTAATACTGAAGGCATTCATTCCCTCCTTTCCTATGCAACTGTCCCCTCCTCTTTCCCTGTCCGTGGCCTCCCTTCTCTTCCCCCCCCTGCCTCTCTCACTACACCAGCTGGAGGAGCTGCTCTCTCGCCTTGGCCCATCGCTGCACGTGATTCAGGCAAGTCCGCCTGCATGCACTCATGGTTGTGTGACGCACGGCAGATGGATGGCAAATGCATAGCAAGTGCATGGCAGATGGATGGCAAATGCATAGCAAGTGCATGGCAGATGGATGGCAAATGCATAGCAAGTGCATGGCAGATGCACGACAGGGAGGAGAGTGCTGCATGCCATTCTAGTCAGAGTGAGTCCGTTCCACAATGATTGACAGACTTCGCACACACACCCATCATGACCCCATCCACATTGCAAGCACCCTCACCGCACTCACACATTAATGGTACCTGAGTGTCCTTCCTCCACTCCTTCCCTCACGTTGCTCCACGTCATCGGACAGGTCAGCGCTGCTGACGTGGCGTCTGACAGCTGGCAGGGGGAGAGGAGGCAAGCGACGGTGGCAGGGATGGCAGGGGATGCGGAGAAGGCTCTACAGGAAGGCAGAGACGTTGTCATCATGACGTCACGAGAGCTCATCACTGGTTCAGGTGGGAGTTACCTCAGGGGGGTGGTGCGTGATCATTGTCCCAGTGACTGTCCCCATGAATGTCCCCATGAATGTCCCCATGAATGTCCCCATGAATGTCCCCATGAATGTCCCCATGAATGTCCCCATGAATGTCCCCATGAATGTCCCCATGAATGTCCCCATGAATGTCCCCATGAATGTCCCCATGAATGTCCCCATGAATGTCCCCATGAATATCCCCATGAATGTCCCCATGAATGTCCGCATGAATGTCCGCATGAATGTCCCCATGAATGTCCCCATGAATGTCCCCATGAATGTCCCCCGCAGTCTCGAGATTTGTTCAATTGTGAGTGCGGCACTGGCGGAGCCATCATATCAATCATATCATAATGCCACGCTTGCATTCTCTTCCCCTTTCTGCATGATGCCCCTCTTGCATTCCTTGCACCTTCCATCCGCCCCCCATCGTCCCCATGCCTGCCAGACGCGGCCAGCAGTCTGGAGATCGGGTCGAGAGTGAGCGAGGCGGTGGTCGATGTTGTCAAGGCAATCGGTGTGCGCCCCAAGTACATTCTCGCTAAGGTGCCATGGAGTAGGGTGGGATGGGGTACGGTGGGATGGAGTACAGTGGGATGGGATGGGGTACGGTGGAATGGGGCGAGGTGGGGTGTGGAACAATGTGGAGAGGACGTCTCCAGCATGGCATAACACGTCACAGCATGGCATGTCATGTCACGGGATGGCATGGCATTGCATGGCATAGCATTGCATGCCAGGGGTGCATGTGCCAAACCCTCTCAGACCCTCTTAACCAGCACCCATTGCCCTCTCACAACCATCACAGCGGCATCACATCAGCGGACCTGCCTTCTCCTCCGCCCCCCCACTCCCTTCCCACTTCCCTCCCACGCGCATCAGGGAGGTATCACATCGTCAGACGTGGCAACCAAGGCACTGGGCGTGAGGAGGGCGAGCGTGGAGGGGCAGGCCACAGCGGACATGCCCCTGTGACACTCCCTTTCCCTCCATCCCAATCTCTCCATCTCTCCCTCCCATTGCCATCAGGGTGGCATCACATCATCCGATGTGGCAACCAAGGCACTGGGCGTGAGGAGGGCGAGCGTGGAGGGGCAGGCCATGGCAGGCGTGCCGCTGTGGCGCCTCGATGATGCCTCCAGGTTCCCAGACCTGCCCTACATCGTCTTTCCAGGTAACGTCTGGGTTTTTTTCTTTTTCAGCCTGTGCTTTCTGTCATCATTCTTGCTATGATCCACTTCTCTCTCATCCACTCCACCAACCACCAGGCAACGCGGGGTCATCCTCCTCTCTCGCTGACATGGAGCAGCGCTGGCGCTCCCAGCCCATGACCCCGCCCCTACTGACAACACCAGACCTAGTGCACGTAGGCGATTGTTGAGTCGGCTAATAGATTCTCTCATCCACTCCCCCATTCACCAGGCAACGTGGGGTCATCCTCCTCTCTTGCCAACGTGGTACAGCGCTGGCGCCAGCCCATCACCCCGCCCCTGCTGACAACGCTAGACCTAGTGCGCGCAGCAGCAGAGGGCGGGTACGCGGTGGGCGCGTTCAACGTGTATAACCTGGAAGGGGTACGGGCCGTGGTGAAGGGAGCAGAAGAAGAGAGGAGTCCGGCCATCATCCAGGTACACAATATGCGACATTGCGGTGGGAGGGGGTGAGTGCGGTGATGCGGGGAGCCTAGGAGAGGAGCCACTCAGGCAGCGAGCAGGGCAGCCGAGGTAGTGAGAAATCATTGTGACCTCTCTCCCTTCTCGCTCCCTTCATCTCTGAACCTCCCCTCTCTGTCTCCCTCTCCCCTTCCCCCTCCCCAGCTGCATCCCTCGGCCATCCATCACGGGGGGGAACCCCTCATGGCAGCATGCAAATCAGCGGCCATGGCTGCACGCGTGCCCATCGCCCTGCACCTCGACCATGGCACGGACGTGGGCCTTATTCAGCGATGTGTGGAACAGGTGCGTGTGCCCATGGTGCTGTGTGGAGGTGTGTGCGTCAGGCCAACACGCGTGGAGGTGTGTGCGTCAGGCCAACACGCGTGGAGGTGTGTGCGTCAGGCCAACACGCGTGGTGATCTGCGCCCGATACCCCCTCCCTCACCGCACATGAGGTGACTTTTGAGTCGACTCAAAAGCCCCCTCCCTCACCGCACATGATCGGTGAGTGCAGGGGTGGTGCCGGTCCATCATGGCAGGTGGTTCACACCTTCCTCTACTGCATTCCCACCCACCATTACCATGACCCATACACTATCCCCTCCCATCACCCAATCCATACTTCTGGTGAGTGCAGGGGTGGTGCCGGTCCATCATGGCAGACGGCTCTCACCTGCCCGTGGCTGACAATATCGCCTTCACTCAACGAGTTGTGGCTGCCCTCGCTGCCCTCACCACTCCAGCAGCCGTAGATGCACCGGGGCCGGCGAGAGCAATGGGCAGTGGGGGAGGGGCGGTGGTGGTGGAGGCGGAGGTGGGGCGGATAGCGGGGGTGGAGGATGGGGAGACAGTTGAGGAGATTGCAGGGAGACTCACCCAAGTGGAGCAGGTGAGGTGCGGTGGGAGCAGGTGAGACACGGTGAGGCAGTGGTGGAGGCAGAGGTGGGGCGGATAGCGGGGGTGGAGGATGGGGAGACTGTGGAGGAGATTGCAGGGAGACTCACACAGGTTGAGCAGGTGAGGTGCGGTGGGAGCAGGTAAGGTGCAGTGGGAGCAGGTAAGGTGCAGTGGGAGCAGGTGAGGTGCAGTGGGAGCAGGTAAGGTGCAGTGGGAGCAGGTAAGGTGCAGTGGGAGCAGGTGAGGTGCAGTGGGAGCAGGTAAGGTGCAGTGGGAGCAGGTGAGGTGCAGTGGGAGCAGGTGAGGTGCAGTGGGAGCAGGTAAGGTGCAGTGGGAGCAGGTAAGGTGCAGTGGGAGCAGGTAAGGTGCAGTGGGAGCAGGTAAGGTGCAGTGGGAGCAGGTAAGGTGCAGTGGGAGCAGGTAAGGTGCAGTGGGAGCAGGTAAGGTGCAGTGGGAGCAGGTGAGGTGCAGTGGGAGCAGGTGAGGGGGGGTGGGAACGAGACATCGGAGAGGAGGGATGTGAGGAAGCTAGTGCCAATACGTATCCTCTTCTCACCTGTCCTCCTTCCATCCCCAGCCCCATTCTCCCTCTTTCCATCCCCAGCCCCATTCTCCCTCTTTCCATCCCCAGCCCCATTCTCCCTCTTTCCATCCCCAGCCCCATTCTCCCTCTTTCCATCCCCAGCCCCATTCTCCCTCTTTCCATCCCCAGCCCCATTCTCCCTCTTTCCATCCCCAGCCCCATTCTCCCTCTTTCCATCCCCAGCCCCATTCTCCCTCTTTCCATCCCCAGCCCCATTCTCCCTCTTTCCATCCCCAGCCCCATTCTCCCTCTTTCCTTCCACACTCAACCCAAATCTTCCCGTTCCTCCTTCCTTTGCCCATGCAGGCCGAGACCTTCCTTGAACGCGTCCCCCAGGTGTCTCTCCTCGCAGTGTGTGTGGGCAACCGCCACGGCCCCTACCCGCCCTCCCTCCTCTCCACCCCCGCCTCCATCCTCAACCTCTCTCTCCTCCGCTCCCTCGCCGCCACCGCCGCCCACCACCACGCCCACCTGTTGCTGTCTATTTTTGAGGCGCCTAAAAAATAACCACCACCACCACCACCACCACCACACCCACCTGGTGCTGCATGGCGCCTCGGGGATTGCCGCCAGAGATTTGCCATGTCTCATCTCTTCCCATTCCTCTGCCCGCCCACCTTCCCATGCAGGCTGAGACTTTCCTTCAAAGCGTTCCCCAGGTGTCTCTCCTCGCAGTGTGTGTGGGCAACCGGCACGGCCCATACCCAGCCTCCGTGCTCTCTTCCCCCGCCTCCATCCTCAATCTCCCTCTCCTCCGCTCCCTCGCCGCCACCACCACGCCCACCTGGTGCTGCACGGCGCCTCGGGATTGCCGCCAGAGATTGCCGTGTCTCATCTCTTCCCATTCCTCCTTCCGCCCACCTTCCCATGCAGGCCGAGACTTTCCTTCAAAGCGTTCCCCAGGTGTCTCTCCTCGCGGTGTGTGTGGGCAACCGGCACGGCCCCTACCCACCCTCCCTCCTCTCCACCCCCGCCTCTATCCTCAACCTCCCCCTCCTCCGCTCCCTCGCCGCCACCGCCTCCCACCACCACGCCCACCTGGTGCTGCATGGGGCCTCGGGATTGCCGCCAGAGATTGTACAGGAGTGCGTACAGTGCGGCGTGCGCAAGTTCAATGTTAATACCGAGTTGAGGGCTGCTTATATGGAGGCACTGGGAGGGGGAGGGAGGGATTTGGTGGATGTGATGGGAGAGGCGGAAAGGAGGATGATAGATGTGGTGCGAGGGAAGCTGAAGATGTTTGGGTCGGCTGGTCGCGTGTGAGGTTGTGTGTGTGGAAGAAGGGAGAGGGGTGTATTGGGAGGAGGGAGGGATTGAGTGGATGTGTTGGGAGAGGCTGAGAGGATGATGAGTGTGGTGAGTTGGAAGGTGAGGCAATTCGGGTCGGCTGGTTGCATGTGAGCTTCCTTGTGTGGGAGAAGGGAGTGTGGGAGAGGGGAGCGTGGGAGAAGGGAGTGTGGGAGAGGGAGGTTGTGGGAAGGGAGGAGGGATTAGATTGACATTGGAATAGATGGATTAAAGAGGGGTGGAAGCAGATGGGTTGTGGAGTTTATTGGTTGTTTTACACAGTTAATGCTGTGTTGAATTGCATCAGTCAGTTTGTAAAACAGTAACTTCAAACTTCGGAAACTACCTGTCCCATGCATCGTGATCACGAGCATCGTGAGCACGAGCATCGTGAGCACGAGCATCGTGACTGACGAGCATCGTGAGCACGAGCAGTGTGAGCAATAAGATTCTCTACATAACGTAATATGATACGGTACCAGTTTGCCCCACCAATTTCCTTTTTTCGAACTGGCACCAATTTCCTTTTTTCGAACTGGCACCAATTTCCTTTTTTCGAACTGGCACCAATTTCCTTTTTTCGAACTGGCACCAATTTCCTTTTTTCGAACTGGCACCAATTTCCTTTTTTCGAACTGGCACCAATTTCCTTTTTTCGAACTGGCACCAATTTCCTTTTTTCGAACTGGCACCAATTTCCTTTTTTCGAACTGGCACCAATTTCCTTTTTTCGAACTGGCACCAATTTCCTTTTTTCGAACTGGCACCAATTTCCTTTTTTCGAACTGGCACCAATTTCCTGCACAACCTGGGAGGATGGAGGGTCTATTCTTACCGGTATCGCTTGTAAGACATCATGCCATCAGCCCTTTGTCTCCAATATGTCTCTTCCTAACTTTGAATTACGGTACATAAAAGGAGGAGTCCCTTCGGGTCTTCCTAACTTTGAATTACATAAAAAAAAGGAGTCCCTTCGGGTCTTCCTGACTTTGAATTACCATAAATAAAGGAGTCCCTTCGGGTCTTCCTAACATCCACTTCGTGACTGACCTGCTGTTTGACACGGGCTACAAATGCACCCTCATGCAGGACCAAAATTGTCCATTATTTCCACTCACCAAGTGTACAACAACACTAGGTATCACAACAGTTTCAACAACCAGTATCATACAAACCAATAACTGAGGCCAGGCCAGGCCAGGCTACCCTAGTAACGTATGTGGGGGTGCTTCGGGATGGGTCCCACCCACTGCCCATCGCCACCATCCCAGTGCTCTTGCAGGCAATCCCATTGCCAAGTGTCACTTCAATGGCGCCTGCAGCGCACGGTCAATTATGTGTGTCGTCTCGTCGCCATACCGGTACTAGAAGCCCCCTCGGAAGAAGTATCACTTTTCGGTATCCTCCCATCCCCACGGCAACACCTTCTGGTGCAAAGCCTCACTTCAACGAAGCCTGCAGCGCTCGATCAATGATATGCGTCGTCTGCATGTTAATCACCAATTGGAACGCGGGCGGCTCCGGGTGATTGTAGTTCGCCAGATAGAAATTCTCGTCTACTCTCCTCGGCCCAACCGCCCATCTCGGGCAGGCTTTAAAGTTCGGTAGATTCTTGAGCAGCGACGAGCGCTTGTACACTCCAAAGTCATTCTGCGCGTAATCGAAGAACGCTGCAGAGGGGATATCTGTGAGGTTCACCATCTGGTGCTTGTTGAATGTCCCCTCCTCCACCGTCGGCAGCACCTCGCAATACTTATACCCCATATCACGCGTCCCGTTAGCGACTATAAGCCGAACGAAATTATCCGTTGGAAGGCCGCTGCAATACCCGGTCTCCTTCCCTGAAAGCGTGCCTTTGCGGCCAATATTGCACAGCTTGCCTCGAATGGACCGGTCCTGGCACACGCTGTCCCACCAGGGCCATTGCGAGCGAAACAGTGGCGTGTCGTAGTATTTCTTCCGCATGGCTTCCCAGTAGGTGCCTGGGCGTTTGGCGCAGTTGTTGACGGTGGGTGTGAAACAGGTACACCAGCCGGGCATGCCTGCCACGTCCTTGATGATTATGTTGTCTATGGAGTTCCTGGGAGGAAGCAGGAGGAGGGAGGGGTGTAGTGTGGTTGATGTGACGGTGGGCGTGAAGCATGTGCACCAACCCAGCATGCCCCACTACATTGCCAATGCTGCTACTGTCAAAGCCCCCCCCATTTGCCTGCTGTACAAATAGCCTCCACAACATGCTTCTTCTCCCCTTCCGCCCTTCCCACCCACCCAGACTCACCACTTGCCGTTGTTGACCTTGATACCGTCATACGTGCCCACACACGCCCGTTGCCAATGGTGCTGCTGTCAAAGCCCCCCTCCCGTTCGCTCTCACAGTACTCACCACTTGCCGTTGTTGACCTTGATACCGTCATACGTGCCCACACACGCCCCGCCATTCACCGTCACGCCCGAGGTGACGTAGTCCAGGTAGTAGCAGTGGTCCCCGTTGAACACGTAGTTGCACTCCGCCAGGTTCGCTGCATCGGGACAGGCAGTGGGGGAGGGTAACATGCAAGGAGAGCAGGTCAACAGGACGCTTGGTCTCCGTTGAACACGTAGTTGTACTCCGCCAGGTTCGCTGCATCGGGACAGGCAGTGGCAGGAGGGTAACATGCAAGGAAAGCAGGTCAGCAAGCCTAGCAGGACATAGTCCAGGTAGTAGCAGTGGTCGCCGTTGAACACGTAGTTGCACTCCGCCAGATTCGCTGCAAGGTTGAAGGGGGTTGAGTCAACAGCAGCAGGAGGACCACAAAGCCTGGTGTGACATAGTCCAGGCCAGGTAGTAGCATTGGTCGCCACCCCGTCGGACACGCAGTTGCACTCCGCCAGATTCGCTGCAAGGAGGTTCAGAAAGGGGAATGAGAGAGATCACGGCGGTTGAGAGGGGATGTGATGGTTGCGATGGGGTTGAGTCAGGAGCAGCAGAATCACAAAGCCTGATGTGACATAGGCCCAGGACCCACCAGGGCTGAACCAGTGCTTACCCCTCTCACCTCTCTCCCACCCCACCAAATCCCAAGTGGTTACCACCTCCCTCCCCAATCCCACACCCCTGACAGCACCCACCAGGGCTGAACCAGTGCGTGCAGAAGTAGATGCCCGCAGCATCTTGATCCCCCGACCGGTTCCTCCCATCCCAGGAGCGACAACAGTGTTGTACGAAACGATCGCCAGCATGCAGTCCGCCACGTAGTGCACGTCCGACAGAGCAGATGAGCTCACATCCCCCCCCCCCCCCTCTTAGCAATGCCCGTACCACCACCTGTATCGCCACCCACCAGGGCTGAACAAGTGCGTGCAGAAGTAGATGCCCGCAGCATCTTGATCCCCCGATCTGTTGGTCCCAGCAGCCACCACGATGTTGTACGAGATGGTGGCGAGCACGCAGTCCGCGGCGTAGTGCACGTCCGCGCCGCAGCGGATGCCCGCGAATATGAAGTCGTGCACGTAGTTGTTTCGCACTATCACGCCGATGGCGCCCTGGTACAGCACGATTGGGGTGTCGACACCTGCAAGGGAAGGGGGTGTGGGGTGGGGGGGAGGAGGGCAGGAATGCGGGAGCGATATGAAGTCGTGCATGTAGCTGTTGCGCACTATCACGCCTATGGCGCCCTGGCACAGCACTATGGGCGTGTCGACACCTGGTAAAGGGGATGCGAGAGAGTGGGCGAGCAGAGAGAGGGGGGGGGGGAGTCGAGGAAGGAGCAGTTATGAAGTCGTGCTCTTGCAGGGTGTTTTTGAGTGCTCGTGGTTGTTGCGCATTATAACTAACAACTATGGCGCCGTGGTAGAGGACACTCAGGGTGTCTACGCCTAGTACAGGTGTACATGGGTAGAGGGGGTGCGAGAGAGAGTGGGCGGGAAGAGAGGCGAATGTGAAGTCGTGCACGTAACTGATTCGCACTATCACGCCTATGGCGCCTTGATACAGCACGATTGGGCGTCGTGTTTGTGGGAATTCAGAAGAAAAAAGGCTGCAAAGACAGCGACATGCGACTCACCGTAGACCTCGTTATTGGTGACCGCGATATACGACTTCTCCAGCGTGGGCCCATGGCCGCTCATGGCGACGCGAATCACGCCCGGAGACTTGTTGAACACGGGAACTCCCGTGACGCGCATGGAGTCGACGCGTGATGACATGCTTCGAAACAAGTCAATGCGCCCGAACACTGTTCCTTTAGCAATCTGAATCCCGTAACTCCTGTAGACGTGTATTGTAGGGCAATTTACCCCGACGCCGTTCTCGGGAACACCGACGCACTGGGGAGACGAGGTGCGAACTCCGAGGGAAAAGCTCACTCCCAGTACAAGCACGTTGCTGGTGTTCCATATCCGCAATACCGGCTGATCCGCTCCGAAATAAGAGATCTTAAAACCGGATCCGGTTATGTTGTTGGAACGCAGAACAGTGCACGAGTAGCGCGAGTCGAACAGCAGACCCTTGTCGAGAACGAGGTTCTTATTTAGCTCCAAGATGACGGTGCGCTTTCGCGGGTAGTTGAGGCGGCGCGCAATGTCGTCTGCAGTATAGACCTTGATATAGGCAGCTCCCTCGTAGTCGGAGCAAGAGCCGGGAGTGAAAGTGTCCTCTTCTGTAAGCGGGGCAAAATGAGGTGGGGGGGGGGGGGCGGGGGGGAGGGCGCGGGGAGGGGGGAAAAAGGGGAGAGGAAGATTGAGGGGCGGAGGGAAGGGATGGGGAAAGGTGAGGAGCGGGGGAGTGGCGGAGTGGCGGAGGGAAATGGGAGACAGAATGGGGCAGGGAAGGGTGAGGACCAAGGAGAGTGGGCAGAAAAACTGAAGTTGCATGGGCAAGGCAGGAAGGGGAAAAGGAGATGAGGGGGGTGAAGCGGCGGAGGAGGGTCAGAGAAAAGGGGAGGAATGGGAGCGGGAGGATGGCCAAGAGGGATTTGGAGCGCGCATATAGTGCGGAGTAAGAGAAGGGGGGAGGGGAGGTGTTTGGGAAAGGAAGGGAGAATGGAGGGTAAGGTGAAGAGATAGCTATAAGTAGCAGACTCACGTGTTTTTCGTCTTGTTGGGTGATCGCTTAGATAGCTTGTTGCTGTCGCGAGAGCAGATTCTGCCTCGCTGTACGCTGATCCAAAATTGCCTGTGAGATTGTTGTCTCGAACGGCTCTCATGCCGAAAGGGGACGCAGCTTTGGAATCGGCGCCGTTTCCGCTACTGTACATGCTCGCACTGTATCGAGACTGCTGCCCGTCTTGTATCGCGTCCAGAAACCGCCAGAAGAGGCCTCGATACTGGGTAATAGGAGGGAAGCCATCGGCCGGTCGCGCCACAAGGAAAAGGGTCACGACGGAGAGAAGCACGAAGCACCGCATTGCGCGCCGAGCCAAGTACGGTGCTAGAGACGTATGACGAGGAGCATCGAACGGGGATGGCGAGAGGAGGGTAACTCGGTCTGCGCGGCGAGGGCTCGCGAATTTGTACGCAGCAGGATGACGATGAACGGCCACCAACGCGAGATGTTTCGCTAGTCTATCTGCGCGACAGATGGGGGTACTACAATGAGTGGCAGAGCGAGTGAGCGACACGTCTGACGAGCTCGTCTGGGCGTATGCTTGTGAGACCGCGGAGAAAAGACTCGGCGGAAAACTTAGTCGCCTTGGCTGAAATTAGGGAATGACGATGACGATGAGGATTTGCCTAAGCGTTATGGCGTGAAGGTAAGGGAGGGGAGATGTTGTGCCGCCGATGCGAGTTGAGTCGAGTTGGTGAATTCTTTTGGCGGTTCTCTGCTGCCTACCATCAAATGGCAGAGCCACGCCATACCATATCCCCAGGTTTAGGTTCTGGAGTGTTCGCCAGATCCAGTAACCAGTTTTGCCCCATAACGTCACAAGTCGCAATTGCGTTGATTGGTGCGCTCTGACAGGCTATCGGCGAAAGAGTTCGCGAAAGAATTACCGTGGATGGATTTGGTTACACTGCATGTGCAACTGCAGGTGACGGCGTTGATCGAGAAAAGCTCCAGTTCAGGCTCATCACCTGCGACCCGCAACTCTCAGGTGCTTATCAAGATATCAAGCAGGAGAGGCCACATCCACGTCAAATAAATCTCAGACCCGCTATTATGCAATCCAGCATCAACCAGGAGAAGCTAGCCACAATGGATATATAATTTGAAGTCACTCCCTAATTGAATGCATAAGTTGATGGTGTAGGCCCAATTTATGTTTTTGCCGAAAATCGTTGTTGTCTCATGTCGCATCCCCCAACAATTTCTAAGAAGTCCAGTTTCACCAATTTCAAGGTCGATTTTGCCTCCCTTTTTCCCGCCTCTTGGGATGGAATGGGGATTCCTTCTGTTCCGTTGCCTAGTAAAAAGACCATCCCTCACTACGCGGTTCTCGAAACATGCTGCTTCCATCACAATATGACCAGAGCCGTCATGGTCGTAGCTCAAGCTTGGTGGACCTTGACGAATATGTCGTGCGGAATATCTAGGACAAAATGGTGACTACTCTAGTGCGTATGAATTAGTGTTGCTTCTGTTATATCAGCTAATACTGGAATAGGTTGTTGATGGCGGTGCGTACCGAAGTGAGAATCTCATTGTTCCGTTAATTGCCAAGATGTGGCTTAACAAGGACTAAAATAGTATTCGATGACTTTTCTTCAATTCGCAAATTCTTAAAGAAGCTGGGTCAAAACTGTGGACGAGCCATCGCCATAGGCCTGTGCGGTCATTGAATTGCTTACACCGCCTAGGTTGAAGCTAGGTATTCAACGAAGCGAGGTTACGACGAATAGGGGAGCTAGTCAGAAGCAGGGACATGGGGAAACGCGAAGAGGAGAGGAGGCGGAGGAGTGGTAGGAAGCCGGGAGAATCGATAATGCCATACTCGATGCAGAAGCTTCTGAAGCGGAACTATAAGGCGGTGTACGCCAGTGAGGTGAGTGTGACTATATCAGCGGCGAATGTGACAAAGAGAGCGAGTGCCAAGTCAGGCTAGGCGAATGTGACAAAGAGAGCGAGTGCCAAGTCAGGCTAGGTGAATGTTACAGTGTAGGCATTGCCTAATCCTCCCTTCGTTGCACGTCGTGCAGAACCACTTGACAAGGTTTTAACGGTTACACAAACCCACCTCCTTTGTCCCCCCTCCCTCAATACCCGCCCCCCTTCCAACACCTCCCTCTCCTCATTCCATGCCTGAGCCACCAGGTCATCCTGTCGCTGCACTGCTCGTTGCTAGCTGTACAGCGAAGGGCCACTCTTCTCGTCTACATTTCCTTTCCGTGCTGTTCTCCCCCACGTGCATCCTAACGCTGTATTACTCCTCGCTGCTGAACGGCGAGGTGCCTCTCAACAGCCGTCTGCAAACCACGCTCACCTCATTCTCTTCCCACCCCCCACCTCTCATCGCCTTGCCTCTCTCTAACCCCTCCCAGGACATCCTATCGCTGTACCACTCGTCCCTGCTGTACGGCGAGGTGCCTTTCTCCAGTCGCCTGCGAGCCATGCTCACCTCACACTCTTACCCCCGTTCCCCTCGCCTTTCCTCTCTCTAACCCCTCCCAGGACATCCTATCGCTGTACCACTCCTCTCTGCTGTACGGCGAGGTGCCTTTCACCAGTCGCCTGCGAGCCATGCTCACCTCGGGGCCCATCAGCCTCCTCGTCACTGCTGTCAGTCGCTTGCCGCCTATGCTGTGACTCTAATCCGCACGGGGGTGCTGTGACTGTACCGAATCCTCATAAAGTGCTGTGGTCGTCCCATGCAATCCCATGCCATCCCATGCCATCCCATGGCGTTTGCATGGCGTCTCATGTTGATATGGCTTGCGATCACGTTTGTGCCTCCTTGTGTTGGGAACGCATCCGTGCCTCGCTGCCGTTCTCTCTCACTTCGCTTTTCCCTCACTTCGCTTCTCCCTCACTTTGCTTCTCCCGCTTCTCCCTTGCTCCAGGCCGAGTTCATGGCTTCCTGCGTGGGTGCAGTGTACTATATCATAGGGACCAGGTATGGCGCAACGTACTATATTATAGTAGGCAGGTAAGCAGGCACGCAGTCACGCAGGCAGGCAGTCAGGCAGGCAGGCAGGCAGGCAGGCAGAAGGTGGTGCGGACGTGTGGGCCACGTGGTCATGCTTGATATGCCTGTACAGTCATCTCACAATCGCATCTCTGGCTATCCATGCATTGCATGCTTCGCCACACCCTCACTCCAGTACCTGCTGCCCGTACCTCCCACCCATACCTCCCGCCCATACCTCCCGCCCATACCTCCCGCCCATACCTCCCGCCCAACCTCACACCCATATCTCACGCCCATACCCCGTCCTCCCATACCTGCCATCCATGCGTCCAGGGAGGCGGTGGCACAGGTGGTGGCATGGAACGCAGGGCACCTGGCCGTCTCTGCCTTCTTCATCCTGCTCTTCCTCCTCCGCCTCTACAGGCAAGCTTCTTTCCCTGAGGACACCCTTTCTGGTTTTCCCTAGCTCGCCTCCTTGGGATTCTCGCATGCCTAGTTCACCGCAAACACACACTCAACCCGTGCCTCCATGTCCTTCCTCCCACGTGCAGTGCACCAGTGCGCTGGCTGTACGTGTGCTCGTGCCTGTGTGTGCTGCACAGCTTCCCTCTCATTTGCGTGCTTGGATCCCTGGAATTCTCGAATGTCTCATTCACCGCAAACACACACTCACCCCATTCCTCCGTGTCCTTCCTCCCACGTGCAGTGCGCCAGTGCGGTGACTGTATGTGTGCTCGTGCCTGTGTGAACTGCACAGCTTCCCTCTCATTTGCGTGCTTGGATCCCTGGAATTCTCGAATGTCTCATTCACCGCAAACACACACTCACCCCATTCCTCCGTGTCCTTCCTCCCACGTGCAGTGCGCCAGTGCGGTGACTGTATGTGTGCTCGTGCCTGTGTGAACTGGACATCTTCCCTCTCATTTGCGTGCTTCGATCCCTGTGATTCTCGCATACCTCATTCTCCGCAACCACGCACACACCCCATCCCTCCGTGTCCTTCCTCCCACGTGCAGTGCGCCAGTGCGCTGGCTGTACGTGTGCTCCTACCTGGGAGTGCTCGACATCCTATCTGGCGTTCCCGTGCTCGGTTCCCAGTGAGTCTTGTTCACATGCGCTCGCCTCTCTCTATCCCCTCCGATTCTTTTCATCCCCTACATTTCCCCACATCCTCTTTCATACTCTCCATCCTCTGTCCATCGATGCACTCCTCACCACCCTCTGCCGTCCTCTCCCATTCTCTCCATCCCCTCCCATTCTCTCCATCCCCTCCCATTTTCTCCATTCTCTCCATTCTCTCCATTCTCTCCATTCTCTCCATTCTCTCCCGTTCTCTCTATCCACTCCTCTTCCATTCCTCTATCGCATGGGCAGCCTCAGCAGCAGCAAGAGAACAGGCACCCTGTTTCAAGTCGTCTACTTCTTGCAAATCCTCAAGTGAGTGGCACCCTGTTGATTGATCCACCCTCATTTCGGTATTGTGGCATGTCAGGCTGTTAAACGCCACTGAGTGTCAAGTGCGCTTCTCTCTCTCACTGTCTGTCCCGCAAACTCATCCCCAGGCCCTTCACCCGCCTGCACCAGCTGGGACTGGACATCACATCCATCACTCAAGAGGTCATCAACCTTATCGTCTACCTCACCTCGCTAAGTATGTCTCTTAGAATAAGTGTGTCTCTTAGACAATAAGTGTGCCCTGCCTGTAGCAGCTGGGCTTGGATATCACGTCCATCACAAAGGAGGTCATCACTCTCATCGTCTACCTCACTTCACTAAGTATGAATTCTAGACACTACTAAGTGTGTCTTTTAGACGGCACTAATTGCTGTCTCTTAGACGCTACTAAGTGTGTCTCTTCGACACTAAGTGTGTCTCTTCGACACTAAGTGTGTCTCTTAGACGCCACTAAGTGTGTCCCGCCGGCAGCAGCAGGGCAGGGGCATCACGTCCATCACACAAGAGCTCATCAATGACCTCTCTCTTCCCTCCATATTCCTCTCTTCCTCCGCCTTCACTCTTGTCTCCCTCTCTCCACACACTCTCCCCACACACCTGCCTGCCCTCTCGCGTCCCAGTATTCACAGCACAGGGGATCTTCCTATGGGTGACCTACCAGAACCCTGCGGTGAAGGCATAAGCTCCCCTCCCTCTCACTTCTCTCCTATCTCCCTCTGTCTGCTCTCTTGTCCCTCCGCCCTCTCACGCACGGCAGTATTCGCAGCAGCGGGCATCTTCCTGTGGGTGACCTCCCAGAACCCTGCAGTGAAGGCATCAACTAGCTTCTCATCTTCCTTCCCTCTGCCTCTGCTCTTATCTCCCTCCGACTTCGCTCCTGTATGCACCCCTTCTCTCACGCACTGCAGTATTCGCAGCAGCGGGCATCTTCCTGTGGGTGACCTCCCAGAACCCTGCAGTGAAGGCATCAACTAGCTTCTCATCTTCCTTCCCTCTGCCTCTGCTCTTATCTCCCTCCGACTTCGCTCCTGTATGCACCCCTTCTCTCACGCACTGCAGTATTCGCAGCAGCGGGCATCTTCCTGTGGGTGTCCTACCAGAACTCTGCAGTGAAGCACCAATTCCATCTTTCCTCCTGTCCTCACTCCTATCCCTCTACCCTCTCACATCCTGCAGTATTCGCAGCAGCAGGCATCTTCCTGTGGGTGACCTACCAGAACCCTGAGGTGCAGGAGACGGGCAACTGTGAGCCGGTTAACTGCCTCGACTATGCCATGTCACTCTACTTTGTTGTTGTCACGGTGAGATGTGGCCAAGTGAGATGTGGCCAAGTGAGATGTGGGTGGGTGAGACGTGGGTGAGACGTGGGTGGGTGAGACGTGGGTGAGACGTGGGTGAGATGTGGGTGGGTGAGACGTGGGTGAGACGTGGGTGAGTGAGACGTGGGTGGGTGAGAGGAAACGGGCAACTGTGAGCCAGTGAACTGCCTCGACTATGCCAGGTCACTCTACTTCGTTGTTGTCACGATGATCAGTGAGAGGTGGGTGGGTGAGGTGGGTGGGTTAGAGGTGGGTGGGTGAGAGGTGGGTGGGTGAGAGGTGGGTGGGTGAGAGGTGGGTGGGTGAGGTGGGTGGGTTAGAGGTGGGGTGGGTGGGTGCGAGGAGACGGGCAGCTGTGAGCCTGTGAACTCTTGACTACACCATGTCACCCTATTTCGTTGTTATTCACGGTGAGATGTGGGTGGGTGAGAGGTGGGCGGGTGAGAGGTGGTGGGTGGGTGAGACGTGGGTTGAATGGATGAGAGGTGAGTGGGTAGGTGAGAGGTGAGTTGGTGGGTGCGAGGTTAGTGAGTGGGTGAGAGGAGACAGGCAGCTGTGAGCCTGTGAACTTTTTCGACTGTGCCATGTCACTCTATTTCGTGGTTTTCACCGTGAAATGTCGCTCTGTTTCGTTGTTGCCACAGCAACGACACACCACGAAAGGCACACCTCTTCCTCCTCCCCCCTCACCTCTCTCCCTCCTTGTGCACCAGATATCCACAGTGGGCTACGGTGACATCCTGGCGACCAACACAGAGCGGGTGATGAGTCGATTTGTAAGTCGACTCAATAATCGACCCCCCCCTCACCTCTATCCCTCCTTGCATGCCAGATATCCACGGTGGGCTATGGAGACATCCTGGCGACCAACACAGCGGGGCGGGTGGTGGTGATGTGCATCATCGTGGCAGCGCTCGTTATTCTCCCTGTGCAACTCAGCAACATCTCCAACCTCCTCGCGCACAGGTGATTCGCTCATTCACTCTCTTGTGCACTCTCTCTTGCACTCTCTCATTCACATTGTCATTGGGCGAGTAGCGGTGATGTGCATCATCATGGCAGCGCTCGTTATTCTGCCCGTGCAGGTGAGCAACATCTCCAACCTCCTCGCCCACAGGCACGTGTTGAGAGAGACGTCTCACTCAGCGATTGTCAGTCTGAAAGTCTTATTCACGCTTGCATTCACACTCGCATTCACACTCCCGTCCCAATCACATCTACAGTTTTGTTCTCACTTGAAGCACCACCAAGCCTCTGGCAAGTTCCAGTCCCACACTGTGCCATTCTGCATTGGCTTTACAATCATCAATCGCATCAATTCCAGTCTCACATTGTGCCATTCTGCATTGGCAGTCAACTTCTTGGTTCTGCTATTGAACTTATTCCTGTTTCCGCTCCCTTAACCACGCCCTAGCTCAGGCCGTACGGTGGAAGGTTCTCAGCAGCTTCCGCCACGGGCATGCGGTTTGTGGTGCTGACGGGGCAGCTTTCCCCACTCTCCATCCAGCAGTTCCTGGCTGAGCTCTACCACCCACTACATGACAGAGGTAGCCACATGTTATTTGTCCAAGATAGCCAATCAGCCATGGCATGACAAAGCTAGCCATCATTACATAATAGAGGGTTTAGCTCCATTCTATTCTCTCCTAACATTCTCCCCTCTCATCATCACAATCACACCCACTGGCTTTTACCCTTCCTTTAATTTCCCCTCTTGTTTTCTTTCCCTTATCATCAGATTTCGCCTCCTACCCTCTCCAAACGGTCATTCTAGCACCCTTTGAACCATCGTAAGTGCGCCTCTTCTGCTTAGGAATCCCGTATTCCTCATAAGGCTTGTTTCGTGGCTTTCATTCCGCAGCGCTCCTTCGACTGATCTCCTTTGACATCTCTGGTCACAGCTCTCAATTCACACCTCTGGTGGTGAATTGAGAGCTCACACCTTTCAATTCACGCCTCTGGTGGTGAATTGAGAGCTCACACCTTTCAATTCACGCCTCTGGTGGTGAATTGAGAGCTCACACCTTTCAATTCACGCCTCTGGTGGTGAATTGAGAGCTCACAGCTTTCAATTCACGCCTCTGGTGGTGAATTGAGAGCTCACACCTTTCAATTCACGCCTCTGGTGGTGAATTGAGAGCTCACACCTTTCAATTCACGCCTCTGGTGGTGAATTGAGAGCTCACACCTTTCAATTCACGCCTCTGGTGGTGAATTGAGAGCTCACACCTTTCAATTCACGCCTCTGGTGGTGAATTGAGAGCTCACACCTTTCAATTCACGCCTCTGGTGGTGAATTGAGAGCTCACACCTTTCAATTCACGCCTCTGGTGGTGAATTGAGAGCTCACACCTTTCAATTCACGCCTCTGGTGGTGAATTGAGAGCTCACACCTTTCAATTCACGCCTCTGGTGGTGAATTGAGAGCTCACACCTTTCAATTCACGCCTCTGGTGGTGAATTGAGAGCTCACACCTTTCAATTCACGCCTCTGGTGGTGAATTGAGAGCTCACACCTTTCAATTCACGCCTCTGGTGGTGAATTGAGAGCTCACACCTTTCAATTCACGCCTCTGGTGGTGAATTGAGAGCTCACACCTTTCAATTCACGCCTCTGGTGGTGAATTGAGAGCTCACACCTTTCAATTCACGCCTCTAATGTCGCATCTCTTCGTTCATGACTCTCACTCAGCATCATTTCAGCACCGCGCTCATCATTTTCCCTACACTGCACCACAGCTCTCTCTCCCTCCCTCTTTATAAACCCAATCCATCGCATCACCCCTCCCCGAATCACCTCCTTCTCCCCATCCCTTCCCAGCTTTGAGCTGCGGGCTCTGATCACGGAATACCACGGTGCAGTGCGGTTCATTCAGGGCTCGCCCATGACACTCTACGACCTGCACCGTGTGCAGATCGCCCTCGCTTCCGCTGTCTTCATCCTCCTCCCACCCCTCCAATCCGTGAGTCCTCCTCCCACCCCTCCAATCCGCGAGTCCTCCTCCCACCCCTCCAATCCGTGAGTCCTCCTCCCACCCCTCCAATCCGCGAGTCCTCCTCCCACCCCTCCAATCCGTGAGTCCTCCTCCCACCCCTCCAATCCGTGAGTCCTCCTCCCCTCCAACCACCCTCTTCCCCCCCCCGATCTGCATTCCGCTAGTCCCCCTCCTCCAGGAGCGTGATCCCATCATCCTATCAACCCCCCTGGCTAACCACCCCTGTGTCTCTCCCTGGCTTCCCTCCCTTCTCTCCCCCCTCCCTTCCCTCCCCCTCTCCCCTCCGCTTTTCTGCGCTGGACAACGCTCAGACCGCGCAAGCACGCGCAATGAGCGGCGATGGGGAGGAGATGGGTGAAGGGCAGGCTGCTTTTCTTTCCCCCCCGTCCCCCTCCCCACCCTTCCCTTCCCAGTCTCGTGCGCTGGACAACGCTCAGATCGCGCAGGCCCTTGCGTTGAACCGCTATGCGGGGCACCTCCCACGCCTCGTGCTGGCGATGGGCGACCCACAGGCATATGCCTCGTGAGCGTATGGCGTCTTAGACCCTGTTTCTCTCTTCCCTGCTTGCTCCCCCCCTCCCAGTCTCGTGCGCTGGACAACGCTCAGATCGCGCAGGCCCTTGCGTTGAACCGCTACGCGGGGCATCTATCACGGTTCGTGCTGGAGATGGGTAATCCGCAGGGGGCAGCACTGCCCGTGTGGGACACTGCCTCCCACCGCATGCACGTGCTCTGCCATGAGAGCCTGCGCTTCAAGGTCCTGGGGTCCAGGTGAGTCAACACTTTCAGAGGGGTTTTGGGTGAGTTAACGCGTTCTGAGCTAGGTTGGAATATTCGTGTTTAGCGTGTATTAGCATGAGTGTAGGACTCGGCCTCCCACCGCATGCACGTGCTCTGCCATGAGAGCCTGCGCTTCAAAGTCTTGGGGTCCATGTGAGTCAACGTCAGTCAAGGTGAGTCAACGTGGGACAAGGTGAGTCAACGTGGGACAAGGCGAGTCAACGCGTTCTCAGGGGTCCAGGTGAGTCTGTGAGTTGTTAGGCGCATCAATTGCCACAGGCGGCAGCACTGCCGGTGTGGGGCACTGCCACCCACCGCATGCACGTGCTCTGCCATGAGAGCCTGCGCGTCAAAGTGTTGGGGTCCAGGCGGGTCAACGTGGGTCCGGGTGGGTCAACGTGGGTCCAGGTGGGTCGACGTGGGTCCAGGTGGGTCGACGTGGGTCCAGGTGAGTCGACGTGGGTCCAGGCGAGTCAATGCGTTCAGAGGGGTCCTGATGAGCTCAACGTCAGTCATTCCCCTCTCGAATGGTCCTTGCATTACTTACGGGGTGGTACAATGGAAGATGCAAACACACAAGCAAAACAAACACCCAAACCGGCATTCTATGTACCTCGAGTCCCCTACCTACACGGCCCCTGTCAGAATGACTAAGGACAGCTAGGCTTAGGAGCCATAGCTTTAGTGGTTAAGAACTTAGGTTTTAGGGTTGAAGGAGGTGTCGAGAGAGTTGAAGTGGGAAGAAGTGACTTCACTAAGAAAGATGAGTACAAAATATAGCAAGGAGAAGCATGGTGCACCACCTACAGCAAATTGGGATGTGCTACACTCTACACTGCAGACAATTATAAAGAACATATATAAATATAGTTCAACAGCCCCCTCCCCCCTGTCCGACCCTATTGGTCGAACGGGGCCTCGATCAACTGGTGCAGCTGTCCCTCACTGAGAGGGATGATGGGACCCCGAAAGCCGAGCTCGTCCGCCGCCAAGGCCTCATTGGTCTTGGTGCGGAGGGCGTTGGCCTGCGCCCGCTGGAGGCACACGCTCCAGCGCTGGCGGTACTCCGTCAGCAGCTTCGCTGCTTCGTAGGAGGTAGGTGCTGCGTTAAAGCGCAGCTTTGCCGCCAGCTCCGCGCATTGCCGGAGGTATGCCATCACCCCTGGCGAGGGGTAGCCGTAAGTTTCTACTGCAAGCGCGTGGAACCCCACCCACGCGTTCCGGCGAGCGTACTTCTCCTTTTTTGCTGCTGCCGCCCTAGCTGCCCATCCAGGAGCTCGGTTGCAGTTCTCGTCCTGGTATGACACTGGGTTTAGGGTTTAGGGTTTAGGGTTTAGGGTTCTCATTCCCCTCTCTCTCTCCCCCTCCCCTACACAGCTGCTTCATGCGAGGCCTCTCCACCCTGGTAGCCAACCTGCTGCGCTCACCTCTCCTGCTCGACTCGCCCGGCCACAAGGCATGGCTGCCAGAGTACCACGCCGGCTGCCTGCACTCCATCTACCCCGTGCTCCTCCCCCCCCGCCTTCCACCCCTTCCCCTTCCAAGATCCCGCCCCGTTTTTACACCAGTGCTTTCGTGTGTGCCTCTCCCCCTCCCCTCCCCTTCCCCTTCCCCCTCTTCCCCCCCCAGCTGCTTCATGCGGGGCCTGTCAACGTTAATAGCCAACCTGCTGCGCTCGCCGCTCCTGCTCGACTCGCCCGGCCACAAGGCATGGCTGCCAGAGTACCACGCCGGCTGCCTGCACTCCATCTACCCCGTGCTCCTCCCCCCCGCCTTCCACGGGCTGTCCTTTGAGGAGGTTGCAGAGTTTGTGTACCGCTGCTTTCACGTCTGCCTCTTTGCTCTTGACGTGCTGGTGGATCCGTGTGGGGCGCATGGAGGGGTGGAGAGGGGTGGGGCGGGTAGGGGAGGTGTTGGAAGGGGTGGGATGCACGCCTGTGGGGAGTGTGTGGAGTGTGTGGAGTGTGGAGGTAGGGAGGAGGGAGACAGGCGCTCTGAGGCAGAGGCCACAGCAAAGCCACTGCAGGGATCATATTCACGTGCAGTACCAACTGCAGCCCCAGGAGCAGGAGGAGGAGAAGAGGGAGCAGCAACGGGAGCAGGAGGAGAAGAGGGAGAAGCAGCGGGAGCAGGAGGAGGAGCAGAGGGGGCAGCAGCAGCACGAGCAGCAGGAGCAGGAGCACCCGCGGAAGCAGCCCCAAGCTTTTACGTGGGCAAAAAGGCAAGCCGACCGCCCAGGCCTCTCAAAAACCCCCTCCCCCAGTTGAGCCGCCTGCTCTCCCACCCCCAAGAGGAGCTGTACTTTCTCCTCAACCCCTCCGCTGCTGCCTCTGCTGCCCGCACGCCAGCAGCAGCAGCAAAACCAGCAAAAGCAGCAGGAGCAAGTGCAGGAGCAGCAGGGGCAGCAGCAGGCAGCAGCTCTGGCCAAGGGAAAGCGTGGAACGCGGGCAGTGGCGTGGCGAGGAGAATAGAGCAGCAGTTACACGAGGGCCTTAGGCTGAGGAGGAAGGGAGCGAGCGGAGGGAGAGGAGGGGGAGGAGCAGGGAGAGTGGGGCTGGAGTGTGGGTGCCAGCGGGGGGTGTTCCTGCTTCCATCTCAGCACATCATCCGCAGCTCTGTTGACGTGGGGTTGGTGATTGCGCCCAGCCTTGACGCTGCTGAAAGGGTTTCTGCTTTCACAGGCGGATTGCACAGTGGGAGGAGCGATGGTGGGGGGAGTGGGAGTGGGGGGAGTGGGAGTGGGGGGAGTGGCAGAATCTGGCAGTCTTGGTGGGGGGTCAGGGGGAGGAAAGGGGAGGGGGGAAGGGGAGGGGAGGTGGAGAAACAGGGCGGTGGTTCCAGGGTGGCCTGTGAAGGTGGTGGACATTGGAAGCGGTTTTGCAAGGAGCATCAGCAGGAGCATCAGCACCAGCAACACAGGCAGCAGCATCACCAGCACCAGCAGCAGGCAATGACTGAACAACAACAACAGCAGCAGCAGCAGCAGCAGCAGCAGCCGAAGAGTGATAGCCAACAACTGCAACAGCAGCAGCAGCTCGTTTTCCAGCCGCCGCAAACCCTGCCATTCCACCCCATCAACCGTCAGCACCGACCCCTCACAGCATCCGCACTGGCGGCAGCACGCGCCTCCAACCCCATCTCCCGCCACCTCTCTTCCTTCCTCTTCGGGACCCGCCGCGCCGCGTCTCTGCTGCTGCCGTCCCCTGCTGCGGCTGCTGACGCGCGGTCGCTGTTTCAGATGGTGCAGGAGGAGTGGATGAGGAGAGGGGCGATGGAAGGGGCAGGTGGATGGGCTGATCTGGCACCAACTGCTGCTGCGGTGGCTGCTGGTGCTGCTGGTGCGGGTGGCATGAGTTTGGGAAGAGATGTGAGTGTGACTCTGATGCCTGATGATACTCATTTCACCGACAGTCATCTCACCACGCCCCTGCTCTCCCGATACTGCCACCACCACCAGGTAGCATCACCAACATCCCCATCAGCAGCAGGGTTAGGCACAGCGGCAGCAGCAGCACCACCACCACCAGCCGCAGCAGCAGCAGCAGCAGCAGCATCAAGAGGGCGCCAAGATTCGTCACTTCAAACGAATCCTTTTATAACGAGAGCAAGAGAGCCTGGCAGCAGCAGCAGCAAGAGAAAGGTAGTACGGTTCCAGGGTATTGGGGAGGTGGATGGGGGGGTTACAGAGCAGGGGAGAGGGGTGCACGTGGAAAGTCAGGGGTTGCTGGTTGGGGGAGGCACGACAGAAGTGAGGAGGGAAGAATGGGAAATGGCAGAGGAGAGAGGCAAGGCGAGAAGTGCAGTGGAAGGGGATGTGCCGCAAGGCATTGGTGACAGCGTGTGGGACGTTGGTACGGCTGTGGAGGGTGGTGCTACTGCTGCTGATGGTGGGAAGGTTGCTGTGTTTGCCCAGGATAAGCCATTCTTGCACCTGCTATCCAAGGCTGGTGCAGAGGAGAAACGAGTGGGGAAGGGCGAAGGAAAGCGAGAGGGGACGAAGGAAGGCGATGAGAAACAAGAAGCGGAGAAGCAAGGGGACGAGGCAGAGGGGGGGGCGAAGGAGAAGGGGGAGGAAGAGGGAGAGGAGGAGGAGGGGGGAGGAGAGGAGGAAGAGGAAGAAGAGGAGGAAGAGGAGGAGGAGATTGAGAGGCTGGCAGTGGAGGTGGTAGATAGGCATGAAGAGGCAATACTCACACATCTAGACTCCCACACCCTCCCTGTTGCTGACTTCGCCTCGCCTCACATCCTCGTGTGCCTCGCTGGCAGCAGCAGAAGCCATGGTGTTGGTGGTAGTGCTAGTGATGGAGAGGAGGAAGGAGGTGGGGAGGGGGGGGAGGGAGGCGGCGTGGTGGCATGGCCGGCGAATCTGTTCTGTCTTGTGAAGCACCTCAGGAGCAGGGCACTGCCGCAACGACCTGTGCTGATTATGCACCCCCATGTACGTTCCTTTGCGCTCATTGATTCTCTAGGGAGGGAGGCGGCATGGTGGCATGGCCGGCGAATCTGTTCTGCCTGGTGAAGCATCTCAGGAGCAGGGTGCTGCCGCAACGACCCGTGCTCATCATGCACCCCCATGTGCGTACACTTGTCCTCATCACTGGCGCCCTCATGGCCTCATCTGAGCCGGCGTCCTCTCTCCCCCTCACTTTTGTCCCACCCTTTTTCCACCCTCCCTCCGCTCCTCCATTACCTCACAGCACCCGAGTCGCTGAGAGTGGGCGCAGGTGGGCATCTCCCCCGGCGTCTTCTTCCTCTGCGGCTCCCCCCACTCACGAATCAAGTTCTCAATCTCATCCTGTCACTCTCCCACCTCCCTTTCTCCCCCTTCCCCTCCCCGTCCTCGAACACCTCACAGCACCCCACCCACCGGGAGTGGGCCCAAGTAGGAATCTTCCCTTGACGTTTTCTTCCTCTGTGGCCCTCCCCCATGCATCATCTTGATCTGATGCCAGCCCATGGCCCCTTCCCTCCCCCCATTGCCTTGCAACACCTCACACACTGCGAGTGGGCTCAGGTGGGAATTTTCCCCGACGTCTTCTTCCGCTGCGGTTCCCCCACACACCATCTCGACCTCATAGCAAGTAACCCTCTCCTTTCACCCTCCGCCCCGACAGCACCCCACCCACCACGAGTGGGCCCAAGTAGGCATATTCCCCGACGTTTTCTTCCTCTGCGGCTCCCCCACACACGATCTCGACCTCATCCGCGCCGGCGTCCTCTCCGCCGAAAAAGTCCTTGTCATCTCCCCCGACCAATCGCCAGGCGCCACGTCACCATCCCTCTCCTCCTCCTCCTCAGGCCCGTCAGCAGACCTAGCAAGCGTGGTGGTCGCAGCACACGTGGAACAGTTACAAGGAGGATGGGAAACAGACGGAGAGAGCGCAGAAGCAGCGGAGGAGGGGGGGGGGGAGAGAAGGAAGGGTGGTTTGCTGGTGGAGCTTCAGAGCGAGCAGTCATATCAGTACTTCCAGCCGCTGTACCTGCTGCCAGGGCGGCGGGCGGAGAGGCGATCGTATCTGCGGAACAGGATGGGGGTGTACGCGTTTGCTCCTGTCTTCCAGAGCGGGCGGGCCTTCTGCAGCACCGCGCTCTCTGCTGTCTCGTGAGTATTTTGTCACAACCCTTTCAAGATTTTCACCTTTTTAATAATCTCAGGTGCCGTGTAACAGGCTTACAAGGCTTTTCCATTCTTGGATGATGTGAAGCCATGTCAAGCCCCTTGGGATCAGGAGTTGTTGGTGCTTGACCTTCTGCTTTTTCCCCAACTTACTGTTCCACTCCTCCAAAATCCTCTGACCTTCCCGTCCCGCCCCCTTAGCCTTAGTTTTCACCCATGCCAGCGTGGCCTCCTTCTCCTTTTTTATATCTCCACCACTCTGCACCTCCTCATATCTGGCGGTCCAGGTGTCCCTTGAGGTGCCAGAAAATCGTCGTGCATGTTTCTCATATCCCTCTGACCCTCCCCTTCCACCCGTCGTCGCCTTTGTTTCCACCCATACCAGTGTGGCCACCTTCTACAATCGCAACATCTCCACCATTCTGCACCTCTTGTTATCTGGCAGTCCTCCCATTCCCCCTCTCAATGCCTCACCCACTCCTCATGCCATTGCTCATGATGCCACTCCCAGTGCTGCTTCCACTGCTACTTCTGCTGCTTCTGCTCCATCTGCTGCGCCAACTGCTGCTCTCCCATCATCCTCATCCACACCCAAGCAACACCAAGCAGCAGCAAAATCACCTCATCACACCCACCACCACCACCAGCACCCAAAGCACAGGCGGCAGCTGTGGCAGTGCGAAGTGCCACATGAGTTTGTGGGGAGGGGGTACGGGGAACTCTTTATAGATATGCTGCGTTCCAGGCATGCGCTTGCCCTGGGGCTGTACCGGGTGGCAGGCACCTTGGGATCTCCAACCGCATTTGTGCACACAAATCCTCTCCCGTCTACACCTCTTTCTCAAGGCGACCTTGTCTTCTACATCATGTGAAATGGTGTGATGTCTTTTGTGCCTGGTAGCATACATTATGTTTCTGCTGAATTCAGGCCCTCCTTTGTGTGTGGTAAGTGGTAGCATAGCCATTTACCATCTAAGCGCCTGGGCCTGGGAGGAAAATATTAGCTCTTTGCGGAGTGATAGATTCAGGAATGGTTTCCTTTGGCCACATGTTCATATACGGTACCACCTGCGAATTTGGTTGAAATATATATATATATTAGCCAAACATGCCTTGGGCCACATGTTCATGGTGCAGTCTACACTGCCCGTTTTTCATATCTACACTCGATAAAGTCCCATTGCCTAGCAACCCGGCAAAGTATGCAAACGTGCTGATGTAACTTCCAGCTTCGATAATGGTCCGCGCTTTTGAAAGCAAGAAGAACTCAGCCATAGTGGGAAGCCGCTGTGCAACTGTTTCAGGAATAGTGGTACCAGAAGAGCTGGTCCCATTCACACCAGCCCTGCTGCCGCTGCTGCTGCCATCACTACTGCCCTCCACCCCCATCCCCAAACTAATGCTCTCCAGTCCCTCTGCTCCCACACTCCCGCCACTGCCGCTGCCGTTGCCACTGCCAGCGCTGCCGCCAGCCTTGGAGGTGTGGAAGATGCCTCCAGAGGAGAAGAAGACAGTGCCGTACTCTGCCAGTCGCGCCACAAACTCGACTCGGTGCTCCTCGTCGTCTGTTGCTAGAAAGATAGAAAACTCGCTACTGCTGCTGCTCGATCCATCTCTGCTGTTAGAGGGCTCTGTGGTGGTGGTCCTGCTGCTACTACTGCTGCCGGGGAGGTCGTCTCGCATGGAACGGAGGGTGCTGAGGATGCCGCCTATGCACTCCCACAGGCAGTTGCGCAGGAACCGGGGTCGAAGGGAGGTAGCACTGGCACTGGCGCTGGTGGTGCTGCTGCCGGTGCCGCTGCTGCTGGTGCTGATTTCAGGGGAATCTTCAGGGTCTTGGCAGTCGGCGTCTTGGTACGTGTCGGCTGATTGCCGAACGACCTTCTCCAGGGCCAGGGTGCGAGTGCGCACGTGGAACCCCACGTCAAACTCTATCTCAGGCCCCGCGTGTGCTGGCTCACTGCTGATTGATGAGGCTGTTGCTGCACCTGCACCTGCAGCTGCTGGGTCTGCTGTGCTGCCACTGCTACTGCTGCTGCTACTGCTGCTGCCTGTGCTGCTGCCCGTGTCCTGGGTGCTGCTTTCCCTGCCGCTACTGCTGTTTTTTCTGCCCTCACTGCTGCTGTTATGAGGCACGCGGCGCAGGACAGAAGAGATGGTGGAGGTGAGGGCTGTAGTGGGGCCAGTGCGGGAGAGAAAGTCGAACATGGCGCGGGAATGAACACACCACACGGACCTGAAAGAAGAATGGGGGCAAAGGTGGGTGTGGATGAAGGCGATTCGAGGATGATGGGAAAGATGATGGGGAGGATGAGAGGAGGGGTGACAATGGTACAAACAGCAGCACCGGTGGGGAGGGGCCGGAACAGAGGGCAGTGTAAATGCAGTGGCATTGAGCAGTGGAACAGAAAGTGACTCGCGAGCAATGGATAGCTGCAAAGATGCAGGGGTGCAGCGCAGGTGGTCATAGCGGTGCCAGAAGAGGAAAAAGAGGGTGCCATTGCGTAACAGAGGGCGACTCACTCACGAGCAGTAAAACAGAATGCAACACCCAAGCGTGATTAATTGACTCATGCGCAGAGGAAGGCAACCAAGACACAGGAGGGAGAACGGGAGGACGACTCACGAGCAGTGGAAGGCGGCAAAGACGCAGGAGCGCAGGCGATCGCTGCGGTGCCAGAAGAGGTCAAAGAGGGTGCCGCTGCGCGTGGCGAGCACCGGGTAGTCTGACTGCAGTGACGCTGCTATGGCTGGGGGTGTGGGGTGTGGGGTGTGGGGGGGTGGGGTGGGGTGGGGTGGGGTGGGGAAGGGTGAGATGGGGCGGGGTAGGGTGGATGGGGTGGGGTAGGCTGAGTGAAGGGCGGTCGCTGCGGTGCCAGAAGAGGTCAAAGAGGGTGCCGCTGCGCGTGGCGAGGACCGGGTAGTCTGACTGCAGTGATGCTGCTATGGCTGGTGTGGGGTGGGATGCAGTGGGATGGGTTGGGGTAGGGTGGACATAAGGGTTGGGTGGGGTTAAAATGGACCTCAAAACCCTCCGCCTCTCTCCCCCTGCCCCCCTGTCCGCCTTGAAAGCACCTTACTTTGAAGGTTCTGTTATCTCTCAGGAAGTAGATGGGTCGCAGCATGGCAAACTTGCACAACACTACCCCTCCAATGATGAATGCACCTCCCCTTAAAAACCCCACACCCCACCCTCCACCTCCCCTGGAAAGCACCTCACTTTGAACGTTCTGGTATCTCTCCAGGAAGTAGATGGGTCGCAGCATGGAAAAATTGCACAGCAGTTCAATGCCCGTCCCACTGCGCCCCTCATGATTCCCCACCTTTCCCCCAACCAACCACCCCCGATTGCACCTCACTTTGAACGTTCTGGTATCTCTCCAGGAAGTAGATGGGTCGCAGCATGGCAAATTTCCGCAACAATTCAACCCCCGTGCCACTGCGCCCCTCACTCGCACTCTTCACTACCTCCACCGCTCCTTCCGCCCCCCCATCCCCCTTCAACCCCCTCCGCGCCCCCCTCCCCTCCCAGACTCCTCCTCCTCCCTCTCTTGCCCCTGCCTCTCCCCCATCCCTTCCATCCCCCCCCCCTCCTCCTCCCACACTCCTCCTCTCTCCCCCACCTCCCACTTCCCCATCCTCGCCCTCCCCATCCCCACCATCCCCACCACTCCCATCCTCCTCCCCACCGCGATCCACCCCTCCCGGCTGCCCAACCGCATCAGAGCTACACCCATACGCCTGACAGAGCAGGTCATACACCCGCGCGTGCTCCCCCGCGTGCAGGCGCACCAGCCGCCGCCCCGCCAGGCTGGCGTAGACGAACGCAGAGACGAACCCGCGCAGGGAGTTCCCAAGGCCGTGGCGCGGGAGGAAGGCGAGAAAGCGCTCGTTGGGGCGGAGCAGGTCGAGCAGGGAGGTGACTGGAGGCCTGGGATGGGGGTGAAGGGGGAAGGGGAAGGAAGAAGGAAGAGGGAAAGTGAGGTGAGGAGTTCCCAAGGCCGTGGCGTGGGAGGAAGGCGAGAAAGCGCTCGTTGGGGCGGAGCAGGTCGAGCAGGGAGGTGACTGGAGGCCTGGGATGGGGGTGAAGAGGGAAGGGGAAGGAAGAAGGAAGAGGGAACGTGAGGTGAGGAGTTCTCAAGGCTGTGGCGCGGGAGGAAGGGGAGGAAGCGCTCGTTGGGGCGGAGGAGATCGAGCAAGGAGGTGATTGGAGGCCTGGGATGGGGGGAAAAAGAGAGGGGAATGGAAGAAAGAATAGGTGGGTGGGGGGAAGAGGGAAAGAGAGAGTTGGGGCTGAGAAGTTGAGGAAGGAGGGGAGAAAGGGTGAGGAAGAGATTCAGGCAACCGGCGCCTGCTAAAAGCGGAGAGAGGAAGTGCGGTTCACATTTGCCAGTGAAAATAAAAAAAACGCGGAGTCTCAGAAAAGTATGACTCACATTCCGTCGGTGGATTAACTCATGAGGCACAATGTCAGCACACAGTGCCTCGCCGCCCACGTTTATCCGCACATCCTGAGGTGATTTATTTTCGGTCTGTGGACTCAAAAATCACCTCCGACTCACATGCGGTCTGTGGATTCTCTAAACTCATCCGGCACAATGTCAGCACACATCGCCTCGCCGCCCACGTCTATCCGCACGTCCTGCACGAACCGCGACTGCCACGGCCGCCGCGGAACCCCTCCCCCCGCGCCGTTCGTTCCGCCCAACCCCCCGCCCAACCGCTGCGCGCTGATCTCCCCTTCCCGCAGCCCGTCCGCCGCTGCTAGCGCCATGATGCTCCTCCGGCCTTCCTCGCTCAGAATCATGCTTCCGCCGCTGTTCCTCTCGTCCCCCACGCCCCCCCGCTCCCCTCGCCCCGTCCGGATATCCGGCAGGTGCTGCCGCGTGGCGAGCAGGGATTGGACGGCGGAAGCGCGCGCGGCGGGGGACCAGAGGAACGGGTAATAGTGACCGGCGAAGTTGGATCACAGGAAGAGGATTATAACGA